ACAAACAATAATAAGTTGGTCAATCCACGACTGTTTGTGGGGACATTGCTGTGCGCAATTGGCTGCTGCATTTCGCCCACAAATAGACAGTCAATTCACTTTGCAGTATTTTCCGTGAAGAGCTTTGCAACGCCTCGAAGACATGATAATGATCTGTATCAAATGCAAAGAATATTATTATTCTCTACTATGCAACGTAGATCCAGCAGCAGCCTTAGGTCCTTTAGCCCAGGCCGTGCAGGTGGCTGGATACCCAGTGAGCACAAGCTCTTGGTGAGAGGAGAAATGTAACATTGCAATGACTGGCAGCACCAGGTTTTTGGCCAGCGGAGGCCTCCCAGCGAGCCTGTGCTCTCGCATTTTGAGCAGAGGGTCACCTGGGCGCCTTGAGCTGCTTCATGTTCCAATTACTACAATAAGACAAATGGCTCCATTTGCTAATTAGCAACTGCTGTGCTCCATTACACATCACAAAAAGAACACACTATCAGCCTGGCAGTCACTCTGGGACAGGAGCCAATTCAATGTTCCCACATTTATCAGATTAAACTGCATGGGGCAGCCATGATGCCAGCTTGTAAATCACTGACACATTGACAATTCCCACCACAGTCTCCAGGCCCACTTATTGGGTTTAGCACATGCAGTTCTCTGGTTCCAGCAAATGCTTCTTTCCACTTCCAATTGGATTCTATGGTCAAAGTGAGCAATGAACATTGGCTAAAGACAGCAAGCAATGTGCCAAAGTGTGGGCAGCACAAGCAGTGGGCAGTACGAGCAGTGGGCAATACGAGCAGTGGGCAGTACGAGCCGTGGGCAGCACAAGATATTTCTATTTATCAGAAATAGACATTGAAATCAAGCCGTTTGATTCCCTCATAACAACATTTAAAAGGGAATTGAATGAATATTTCCAACAAAAAATATATTAAATGGAATTATAGAGCAGAGAATTCTAATGGAGTAGCTGAGGTGTGATGGCTTTCTTCTGTACCATAAACTATTTACCCTCCGAGGACACCAGAGGGCAACATTCACTAATAAGTCAGATTGGTTTAAATTGATCAGCAGTTTTGTGTTGACCTGTAAACAAGGCTCACTTATCGATGTTGTTTAGCCGACAAACGTATTACATCAGAGAGAGAACCAATCAATCAAATTTAAATTCTCTCCTAAAAGTAGTCGGAATTAATGATCCCTGAACTCTGCAGCCCGTGTCCTCTCCCCCACCAGGCTCCATGACCCTATCACCCCATCCTCGCCCAATTCCACTGGCTTCGCATCACACAGAGGATACAGTTCAAGATCCTGGTCCTCACCTTCAAAACCCTCCATGGCCTTGCTCCTCCCTACCTCTTCGACCTCCTAACCCCCTACCATCCTGCCCGCTCCCTCCACTCAGCGTGCTCTGGCCTGCTTCACGTCTCCGCCTCACTCGCCCCTCCAGTAGTGGGCAGGCCTACAGACACTCTGCCCTTGCCCTCTGGAAGTCCATCCCACAGAACTTCTGCCTCACCCCTTCCTTTCCTCTTTGAAGACCCATCTCAACACCCTCCGCTTTGACAATGTCTTCAGTCGCGCACCACTCCCTCCGTTCAGCGGGCTCCGGCTGCTCCATGTCTCCCGCCCGACCCACCCTACCATCGGTGGCCGGGCTTTCAGCCTCTCTGCCTCCACACTCTGGAACTCCGTCTCACAGTCCCTTCCCCTCGCTTCCTCCCTCGCCTCCTTCAAGGCCGGTCTCAAGACCCTTCTCTTCGACTGTGCCTTTGGTCTCCCTCCCACCTCTCTGCCTTCCCTCACCCCTACACCACCCCTCCCCCATGTTCGGGCACCGACACCTGACTGTTCAGCACTTTGGGACATCCTCCCGACGTGAAAGTCTTCTCTTTGACCGAGCCTTCAGCTCCCCTCTCGACTCTCTTCCCCCTCCTCGCTCCCTCCCTTCCCTCCCCTCACCCTGACCATTTCCCCCCTGCTCGGGTCATGACCCAACTGTGCAGTGCCTTGGGACGTCCTCCTGACGTGAAAGGCGCTTTATAAATGGAATCTTGTTGTTGTTGTTGTTGTTGTTGAAAGACGCTCAATAAATGTCATTAAATTGTACTTGCCCTCCACACTCCCCGATCCGGACCCCCAGCTCGGGTCCGAAACACTGATTGTCCAGCGGCTTGGGATGTCCTCCCGATGTGAAAGGCACTTTACAAATGTAATTTTATTGTTGTTGTTTTTCTTAAACAGGCAGTGCTGCTGTTGTAACGTGTCAGCAAGTCTGTTGCACCATCAGTGTCTGAGCTTTCAGCCACTGCGCCCCAAAACTCTGGAACACTCTTCCCACCGCTTTGCCCCTTCTGTCCTCATTTTCATATTGCCTCTGAAGACCTTCCTGGCGTCGTGCTCTACCACTGTCAAGTGTTCTGGGACATTACCCTGCATGAGGGGCGCTATATAAATGCATTTTGTTGTTGTTGCTTTGCTGGCAAACTATCACAGTGAGCAAAGCAATAGCAACAGCAGAAGAGAAACCAAAGTTTCAATTGCAGTAAAATCTCAAGTTTCTTTCACCTCAAGTTCTCCTTTAAAAAGGGGATGGCCAAGCCGGGCTGGGGAAATGTCCAACGTGTTCAAATATTCAGCCACCAGCAGAGGACACAGAAAAATATGAAGTTAGGTACAAGGAGGGTTGTCTGGAAAATTGTAGCTGCTATTTTTAACTCGTAATTTTGCTACTTCTGAAAATCACTAATGTCGCTATTTATCAGCTCGCTTTACTTAGCAGAGAGAGAGTTTATTAGATGAAGCCGTTGAGGAGCCTGGTTTGTGAAACCAAACGGCGTCAGAAGAGGAAAGGTAAAATAAACCAAATGCCTTGATAAAGGGTTCAGTGACGTGTGATTTCAGGGATAGAGTTTTCCCAACAAATTGCGAATATTGCTGTACATTAATTGTATATATTGGGCAGAAATGAGACTGCATGCAATCCAATTATTGTCCACTGCTCTCTCTGGCATCATCTGCGGCCTGTATTCTGCAACCTGTTTTCTGTGTCTCGGTTAACCCTTGTCATGGAGAGATCCAGCCTCTGTCCCCGCTGGCCTGGCTGGGAGAACCTGCAGCTGGCAAGATAATGACAATTTTTGGCTGCAATCATGATGATTTTCCAGAGATTTTAATTCATGATTGTAACTCAATCCCCACAGAAAGAAAATCAGATTTGTTAAAGTGATATTGCAGTTGATGTTTTGAGTGGAAAATCATAATATTTGTCAAGCACAGAAAGGAGGTTATGTTGTTTTCTTTCTTGTGTCTGTGCAGTGATAGAATATTGTGTGTGTTTTGGTGTTCCTTCAACCTCACGCACTACCATCCCATTCCAAAGCCCTGGAACGCATTGTCTTCTCGCTCTGACCAGGGCTCCCTCTGCCTCCTCCTCCTCCTGGATCTCTCCACTGCATTTGACACGGTCGCCCACGCCATCCTCCTCCACCGCCTCTCTTCCTTTCACCCACGTTATTGGGACGGCACTCGCATGGTTCGAGTCCTATTTAACCAACCGCTAGCACTTCATCTTGGCCAATGGTTTCTCCTCCGTCCCCCCTTCTGTTACCCGCGGGGTACCCCAAGGCTCCATCCTTGGCCCAATTCTTTTCTCATCTACATGCTCCCTCTCGGGGATGTCATCCGCAGACATGGGGTCAACTTCTACATGTGCGCAGATGACACTCAAATCTACTTCTCCTCCAGCTGCGACGCCCAGTCCACTGATGTCCTGTCAGCTTGTTTGACGTACATCAAGGCTTGGATGAGTGCAAATTTCCTGCAGCTGAATGTTGTCAAGACGGAAGCCATACTCTTTGGCTCCCATCAACGTCTTCTCTCCTTCTGGCCTGAACTTCTCAACCTCCCCGGGCTCTCCCTCAGACTCTCTGAACCTGTGCCCAACTTCCAGATTCAGGTTTGATCCCTAGCTTTCCTTTCTACCCCACATCCTTTTTTTTCCACCTGAGTTACATTGCCCCCCATCACGTCCCCCCATCACACCAGCCCATGCCAGGCTCCACTGGCTCCCAATCACCGAACGGATCGATTTCAAGATCCTCTCACTTGTTCTCAAACCCCTTCGTGCCCTCGCACCTCCCTACCTCCCCGATCTGCTTACCCACCACTCCACCACCCGCTTCCTCTGCTCGGCTGGCTCCAGCTTACTGTTTGTCCCTCGCCCCCTCTGCTCCACCATCGGTGGCCGTGCCTTCAGCCTCTACCGCCCGAAACTCTGGAATTCTCTCCCTCAACCTCTCTGCCTTTCCTGCTCCCTCACCACTTTCAAATCCCGCCTAAAAACCTTCCTTTTTGATCGTGTTTACGGTCACCTCCCCCCCCACCCCACTCTGTCTCCCCCTGGCTTGTTGTCAGATTCCGCCACTCTCTGGGATACTACCCCATGTAAAGGGCGCTATATAACTGCTAATTGTTTTTGTTGGTCCTACAGTTTGCTCAGGGTGAAAAGAGTTGCTTTATGAACAATCAGACAATGAAAAGTAATTGATGAACTTTTATTGACTTTTAAGAAAATCTAGAAATTTGCAACCGGAGTATTTGCATATATGGTAAGAAAGGGTGAGAAAATATGTCAGTTAAAGAACAAGTACAACAACAACAACAACAAGATTCCATTTATAGAGCGCCTTTCACGTCGGGAGGACGTCCCAAGGCGCTGTACAGTTGGGTCAGGACCCGAGCATTGGGGGAAATGGTCAGGGGGAGGGGAGGGAGGGAGCGAGGAGGGGGGAATGGTCAGGGTGAGGGGAGGGAAGGGAGGGAGCGAGGAAGGGGAAATGGTCAGGGTGAGGGGAGGGAGGGAGCGAGGAGGGGGGGAATGGTCAGGGTGAGGGGAGGGAAGGGAGTGAGCGAGGAAGGGGGAAATGGTCAGGGTGAGGGGAGGGAAGGGAGGGAGCGAGGAGGGGGGGATGGTCAGGGTGAGGGGAGGGAAGGGAGGGAGCGAAGAGGGGGTAGAGAGTCGAGAGGGGAGCTGAAGGCACTGTCAAAGAGAAGTAGTGAATTGTGTTGAATTATAACATTACTTTTTAGGCAGTTTCCTCATTGCAGTGGCAAGTAGTTAGCACCAATATTATTCAGTGTGAGGTTCACTGTGAAGTTAACTGAACCTCATCCATGTTGTAGAAAGTTCTTTACACAACATTTAGTAACACCTCAGTGCAGAACCTGCTAACAGAGATTTTAGTGTCTCTCACGTGCTGTATATATACAATTGTGTACAAAGAAGTGGTTCAAATTTCACAGTAAAATTAGTAATGTGGAGGTTTAAATCAGTTGTTGCCATAATGTGAACTCTGGGTAATGTTTGCAAAGCAGTTGTGTGCTGCAGAGGATAGACTAGAGTGGCAGATGGCTTGAAAGAAAAGTAAATAAATGGCAGTGCGCAGTTTCAGCAAAGCAAACAGAGAGGCAGTGTGCTTGGCATTGCTAGTATTATTTCCTAGTTAAAGCTTTGATATCTATTCCCTTTTCTGTGTACTCCTTTCCTCTGCATTGTCTAATGCTGTTCCTTGTCTTATCCCGACGTTTGACTCAGCAATTTCTTTGCCTCTGTCGTCATGGGTTCCCCACAGGGGGTGGCTATGCATCCGCACTCGGTCACAGATATGTAGGTGAACTCCATGGTCGTGTCATCTGGACAAAGTAAGGTGACAACCTGCTTGCTGGTGGCTAACTCCTGGCAGCATGAGCAGTTGTGGGAAACTGCATTAGCTTCAGCAGAATACCTGTGTCAGAAAAGCACAAGGAGACGGTACTTACACTCATGGCTCCTTGCCAACAAACAATAGCTCTAAGATCAGACAATGTGATGGCATTTGCAATTAGCTATTCTGGCAGGCTCCCGGAAGTCTGTCATGCTGACCGTGGGAACATAGCTCCACCATGATCTACTTCTGCTTACCAGGAGGCACAATTTGAGATACCCATTTGTCTAGCATGGAAGGAGGCTCTGTGATCCATCATGCCTGAACTAGATCTCTGTTAGAGCTATACTTTTAGTCCCACCCATTCCCTTTTATACTTTTCTTTTCAGATGTTTGTCTAATTTCCTTTTAAAAATGTTTGTGGGTTGGCGTCTCCTGTTACTAATGTTACACTTGGATTCCCAATGAAATATTTGTTAAGTATACTACTGATAATAACCCTTGCATTTAACGTAGCGGAATGGGCTGATTAACCATGCGGAGGATATTTACAAATGTTAGATTGCAATACAGAAGTGACCATGGAATAGAAAATTCTCCTTAGTAGCTAATTGTGCATTATACATATATCTGTGGCCATCCATTTAACAGATGCTTCTATTCGTAAACTGTTCTGACAATGAGTTCCTAGGGTTTCTACATTAATGGAAGTTGAATACATACATGGAATAGGTCATGCAGCGTCCTCCGCAGTATTTCATTGAGACTTGCTTTTCAGACTGACATTGCTTGTGATGGATGTAGGTGCTGATTTCTGAGACGCCGCAGGTCCTTGGGGCACCTGCAGACATGGAGCACAAGTCAGCTCATCAAACTGCAATGACTTAATAGTTAGATCCAGCGGATTCACTACATTTCCTGAAAGGTGGATGAATTAACTTAGGATCCACGATGAAGGTGTCAGCTGTAGGAGCGCTCAGATCAAGAAGTCTGGAATTTATTTGGTCACTTTCCATCAACTCTCACATAAGATCATAAGACAGGTTCAGCCCATTTGAACCACCTGTCCTGGCAACTGGTTTCAGTTGTTGACTACTCTGGATAAAAAAATGGTCTCTGGTATCTGTGCTGAAATTGCCCTTTGCAACTCTACACATATATCCTCTTGTTCTACTGTCTTGCTGCATCCAAAAATATTGTTTCTGAATTACTTTTTCTATCTTTAAAATGTCACCCACCTCTATGAGGCCCCATCTGAGAAGTCTGCTTTCAAGAATGCAGAGCCCTAGCTTGCCTAATCATAGAATCTTACAGCACAGAAGGAGGCCATTCGGCCCATCAGGTCTGTTCCGGCTCTTTGAAAGAGCTACCAACTGGTCCCACATCCCCGCTCTTACCCCACAGCCCTGTAATTTTTCCTTTTTAAGTACCTATCCAATTCCCTTTTGAAATCTATTATTCAATCTGCTTCCACCACCCAGTGCATTCCAGACGTAACAACTCTCTGGGTAAAAAAATTCTCCTTGTCTCCCCTCTGGTTCTTTTGCCAATTATATTAAATTTGTGGTTCTCTGGTTACCGACTCACCCGCCAGAGGATACAGTTTCTTCTTGTCGACTCTACCAAAAACCCCCTTATAATTATCACTCATTCCTCTAACACTGCAGATCCTTCTCTTTGCTCCCCTCTACACTGCCTCTAAGACCTTGACAGCCTCTTATGTCATAACAACTAGAACTGCGTTGCCCTCGCACCACTCACTAGGCCTGTCAGGTGTTGCTTCTGAGAGCAAGGGGAGAAAACCAAAACTATCAGCAAAACGTCTACATTGTATTATCACAACTGCCTGATGTGCAGTCACCGCAATCTGAAAGTGACTAAAGCAGTAGACGATTTGAATCCTTCTAAACTATAAAACCTGAAGAATGGGAAGAACGTGAGTTTGCCAGGATTGGGCAGTTTAGACAAAAAGCACTCGCTGGATGTTTGAAATGCAAATTCACAGGATGTGAGTGACACCCATGTGTGTCTGGTCCTGTATAAATCACTTCCCATATGGCTGAACACAAAGCTACTGCTTATACCCTGTCCATTGCGGCATCTACAACAACAACATGCATTTATATAGCGCCCTCCACGCCGGGCGGTGTCTCAGAGCTTAACAATGGCGGAGCCCGAGGCCGAGCTGGGGAGGGGGAAGGTGACCGTAGGTGCAGTTGAAGAGGAAGGTCTTCAGGCGGGACCTGAAGATGGGGAAGGAGGGGGCAAGGTGAAGGGGTTGAGGGAGGGAGTTCCAAAGTTTTGGGGCATAGTAGCTGAAGGCACGGCCGCCGATGATGGAGCGGAGGATTCGGGGAACACAGAGGAGGCAATAGAGCGGAGGCAGTGGGTGAGAGAGGAGGTGAGAGAGATGGGTGGGGGAGGGAGGGGTCAAGGAATGGAGGGATTTAAACACTAGAGTGACGATCTTGAAGTGAATCTGCTCTGTGACAGGAGCCAGTGGGGTTTGGCCAGGACTGGAGTAATCGGGGTGTGGAGTTTGTGTGGGTGAGAATGTGGGCAGCGGAATTTTGAATGAGCTGAATTTTGTGAATAGTGGAGGAGGGGAGACCAGCGAGGAGGGGTTTATAGGCCAGCTGAGAGGTGACAAAGGCGCGGACAAGGGTTTCGGCAGCTTTTGCGGTGAGGTATCATTGGAGACGGGCTATATGGTCAGGCATTGGATGTGGGGGTGGAAGGATAACTGAGCTTTAAGGACAGGTCAGGTAGGTTGATGAGGCCAGAACCGTGGGACAGAAAACATCGATGGGAGCCAAAGAGTATGGCTTCCGTCTTGTTGACGTTTAATTGCAGGAAATTTGTGCTTATCTAGCTCTTGATGTCCAACAGACAAGCTGACAGAACATCAGGGGACTGGGGGGGGGTTGCAGCTGGAGGTGGAAAAGTAAAGTTGAGTGTCATCTGCAAACGTGTGGAAATTAACCCCGTGTCTGCAGATGACATCATCGAGAGGGAGCATATAGATGCGAAAGAGAAGGGGCCAAAGATGTATTCTTGGTGTAGCTATCCCGCAGATGACCGGGTGGAAATGAGAAGAAAAGCCATTTGCAGAAATGTAGGGCTGGCAGTTTGTAAGGTAGGATTTGAACCAAGCGAGTGCGAGTCCCACTGAGGTGGATGTCGGAAGAAAGGAGGTGGAGGAGGAGAATGGCGTGATCGACTGTGTCGAACGCGGAGGAGAGGTCCAGGAGACAGAGGGAGCCCTGGTCACAGATAGAGAGGATATTGTTTGTGACCTTCATGAGCGCTATCTCTGTACTGTGGGTGGGGAGGGAGTCGAAGCAGCCGGTGGTGATAGTGGATGAGAGGGAGGAAGGAGAGATGGGGGCAAATGAATGTAGGATGGGGCCGTGGTAGGAGCTGAGGGCAGGGTGGGTGAAGGATATGGAATGAGGGTAGTGGTAAGTGACACGGAGCAGAAGGATGAAGCTGCCAGGCGGATGTTGTCAATTTTAGAGGTAAGGAAGTCCATGAGCTCTTTGCACTTAGAGTTAGATGTGATGATTGAGGGGCTTGCGTGGGTGCACGGAGGAGGTGGTGGGCAGTGGACAATGGTATTGTTGGCCTCCAGGGAATAATGGATCTGGTTCCTGAGATCAATCTGAAGAATGGATATAGAATGATAGACTGTTTAGAGCACAGGTTCCCCTCCAACCTCCCTCTTGGTGAGCAGGCTGCTGCTTTTTACTTGCTCAAAACGGAACCCACAAAGAGACTCAATAATTCTGCAATTATAATAATAATAATTCTGTAATGGTGCGTGTTACTTACATGTTTGACAACAGCCATATGAGTCGAACCTTAGTGTACCCTGCCAAATACAGAGCATTAGAGATTAAGGAATGTCCATTATTTGAAAGCACATTGTCTAATACATTTGGAAAAAGGTCTAAATTTCCAAGCTAAATATTTTTGCTGCATTTCACACTCACAGGCTCACAGTTGTCCTCGTCCAGCTCAGGGCACCACTGCTTGTAGATATTTGGAATAAAATGAGGTCCTATTTTCACACATTGAAATCTGGTACAGTTGTCCTGTGGGTCTACTATGGTAGCTCCAGGCTGTGCCAATACAGGAAGAGATTTATTTTTATTCAGGAAGAGAATATTACACAAAATTCTTAAAAACACTTTTACATTTTTAAGACCACATGAGAATTTACTAGGCGAAAGAATACCAAGGTTTATCTAGTTCGTTTTCCATCCCTGCAGTCGCTTGACATGTTGTGTCGCAAACTACACTGCATCCCTTATTCATCAGGGAGAATATACATGTAGAACACAATTCAATGCCTGTATCAAAAGATTCATCTTGCCTCTTCAGATTCAGTTCCTGTGGCGCAACTCAGTAAATTAAGTATCAACCAATTCCAGCCTCTCCAAGGCAGGTCTCCAGGGCTGAGCTGATGCGAAGGTGGCCCTAAACATTTTGAATAGCCACTTTACATCATACGTCACACATATAGCATCATCCGTAAACACTTTCTGTAACATGAACCTCTCAAATAACCAGTGTATTCATTATTTTGGTCATTGAGTTCCTCAAGGTAACATGCACATACCTTAAGGATTATTGATGGCTCGTCTGACATCTCGATTACACAGTCTTTCTGGACACAGCTGCCACAGCATTCTCCTACAACCTTTTCATAGTGAAAACCCTGAAAGAAATACACAGAAACGTTTCTGATTCGTTCCTTTGAAAAAAACAATAATCAGAACCTTGAATAATATTGTGAGGAGGGGAGCAGGAATCGGGGTCAGGTGCTTACTGGTGAGCAGATGACTTCACACTCAGTTTTGTTGCACCGGATGAGGTTGAGTTGGGTGGATGGATCTGTTTCCTTGGTGCACATGCAGTAATGACACAGGTCCTCCTGAGGAAGGATGACTCCTGGCTGAAAGACCAGATTACATTATTGTCACATTTGTAAATTTCTTTGCACTTAAGGGGTCAGTTTTCACCAAAGGAATTTAAAGTTCTCTTTACAGACTCTGAGAGGCTATGTTAACATTTCTATAAGAAGAGTGCTGTTCGTGTGTCAGCTGTTATAACTTTTTCATCTTATTTCTTTTATAAAAATGTACAGAATTTCTGCTGAGTCTGCACACCTTATTTAGAAATATACACTGTTCACTGAACGGAATCACAAATAGCAGCAGAAATCTTGAATTGTACAGTACAATTTAAAATTATAAAACGACTTTCACATTGGGAGGACATCTCAAAGTGATTTACACAGCCATCTGGACACCTGAGCTGAGGAGTCGTGAGGGTGGGGAGGGGTACAGCTGGATCTGAAGAGGGTTGGTGCAGACTGAAAGATGGACCGAAAATGAGGTCAAAGAATAAGTCTAAAGGTGGGCTTTAAAAGTGAGGAGGGAGGGGTAAGTTGGAAGGACTCCGAGGTGGAGTTCTGGAGAGTGAGGTGGAATGGCTGAAAGCTCAGGCAGGAAACATGAAGCAAAGCCAGTGTTTGCTGAGCACAGGAAAACAACAACTTACTATGCCGGGCGGCATCGGAGTACTTAACAAGGCCTAAGCCCAAGACCTGGAAAGGTTATATGGTTGCAGAAGGTCAGAGGGTGGGGGAGGGTGGTAGGTGGGGGAGACCGTGATAGAATTTGACTATGAGGACAAGGATCTTGAATTTGATCCATTGTGGGATAAGTAGCTGGTGGAGGTGAGTGAGGATGAGGATGATAGGCTGGCGAAGCCTGCTGCAGAACAGGACATGGGCTGAGTTGTATTGCGTTCTGGATGGTCTGCAGTTGGTGTCTGGTGGACAACTGAATAGTCAAGCCTGGACATAATGAAGGTGTGAGTGAGGATCTCAGTAGTCAGGGGGAGAGGTAGCGGTGGAAAAGTGCCAGAGTTCCTTTACCTTGTACTCAGTGTCATTGTACACGCACACCTGCTTTGGCACTGCAAACAGAATAATATTTTTAGATCAAGTACAGTTGAGGTACAGGCTGGAAGCATACTTTACAGTACAAAAATGACATTTATTTAGTGTTCTTTCACGTCAGCAGGACATCTCAAAGCATTTGACAAAGCTAGATGGACAGTTGAACGGTGGGGGTGGGGAGAGGTTTACTGATTTACTGGCTTATTACAGCTGCATCACATCCATAATTTATTTAGAAACAAAGGAAAATTCGGCACTTACCACAGTTGTAAGTTAAGCAACATTCTCCTTCAGGGATATACGTAACTGGTTCAAATCCAGGATCACAACTAATTTTCTCAGATGGACAATGGCTTACTTTACATTCTGTATAAATAACAAAAACGTGTGATTAAATTAATCCAAATTTCTCTCTTTGTGCTGTTGTGCATTGATAACCCGATGTTGTGACATCAGAGTGGTCTCAAACCTGCTTGCAAAGATTACACTCTCCAACATTGCTTCAATTACTGAACACATTGTGTTCATTCAATCCCCCCATTCAAAGAGGTGATAAATAGCAAAGTGGTCAGCAAACACATGAATACCTACACAATAGGGGTCTCTTCAATCTTTGAATGGAGGCATATATCAAAATGTAAAGTGGAGAAATCATCAATGTGCCATCCCTTTAACAATTGGATATTATAACTTCTGTATCATTAATCTTACTGTATAAAAGGCAGTTCTTGGGGAGGAGAGAGATTCACAGACTTGCTCACTCCCACAAATCCCACAACCTGATGTGTTCACTCACTTGATATTTAATGTGTGAGCTGCATACCTGCACGGTTCAAGAAGTAGAATGCTTACTTACCACACACGGTTTCTTCACAACAAGAGTCCTGTTCACTTGTTTGGACAACTGGCACAAAACCTGGTCTTGTGCATTCAACAGGTGCAACTGGTTGGCAATGGTGGGGTTGGCAGACAACACTCAGTGTTGTGTTATCACACAAACAGTCTTGACAATTACTTTGCCATGTTTCACCAATCTTAGTCAGAAAGATACAGATATGTTATATGGTGAATACACCGGCAATAGTTATAGAATCATAGAATCTTACAGCATAGCAGGAGACCATTTGGCCCACTGTACCTATGACAGAGCTATCCAACTAGTCCCACTCCCCCGCTCTTATCCCATAGCCCTGCAAATTCTTCCTTTTTAAGTCTGTCCAATTCCCCTATTATTGAATCTGTTTCCACCAACCTTTCAGGCTGTGGATTCGAGACCGTAAAAACTCTCTGGATAAAAAATTATAGCTTTACTATATTTTAGAACTACAAGTGGGCAAATTAAGAAGCAAAGAGAATCTAGTACCTGTCTTGGCTTCCCATCCGGTCCTATGCATTCTACAGGGCAGAGAATATTAGAATTAAACATTAAAATGATCAGCTAGGAACTCACACCATTTCTGGAATACTGTATAACCAGAAAATTGTAAAATGTTTTAGCAGTAATCTAGAAAAAACATAGAATTGATACAAAGTTTAGAAACTCATGAAAGATCATTGAGCAACAGAGGTAAATAACCAAAGTAATTAGCCAGCACTGCAAATGACTAACACATGGAGACAATGTGGGAAGCAGCAAAGATTCCCACCCCAGCACAGGCAATCCTGTTAGCTGTCCTGCTTGTCCAGCTAGGACTAATGTACCCTTTTGTGCTTTGGTTTTCAGAGTTAACAAGAGCTGAGAGGGAAGAAACCCTGTCCCTCAAGCCCTGCTAATATGCTGACTGGTCTGTTATCACCTGACTCAGGAACTGGACCACCAAGACCACCATAGAGGGTTGACTTGATTCTGATGTTCTATATTCAAGTGGAACGTGGCAGCACCCCACTGTAAACCAGTATAAATTGTTACTAAGGAAATATGTCTAGTCCCTCTCATGACTCAGTCCATGACTTGGTCCAGTGTGTAATCATACCATACGGACTGGGAAGTTATGGATTTGATTGATGATCTATACTGAATTAGATGATGCTTGCTTACTCAAACAACAACAAGAACAAGATTACATTTATATAGCGCCTTTCACGTTGTGAGGACATCCCAAGGCGCTGGACAGTGTACAGCATTTTGAAGCTGAGCTGGGGTCAGGGAGGGAGAAGGGAGGGGAGAGGAAGGGGGGGCGGCGGGGGGGTGATCGATGGCATGGTCGAAGAGAGGGTTTTGAGGCGAGACTTGAAGGAGGTTAAGGAAGGGGGCGAGGCGGTTTGATTGGGGGGTGGAATTCCAGAGGTTGGGTCAAACAGCCCATCAATACTCATTATAAATATTCACATATAAATTATGGTCACTTGGACAATTTTGGTTTGGTCAGCCAAGTGTCTGACACATGCAGAAACATATCACTGTGCTTAAGAATATCCAAACTAATTTGAGAGCTCCATGTATCCCTCCTACACATGGAAACTCCCATGTATTGGAATTGGAATGCACTCTCTCCCTGGAGGGACATACCCTGCTGAACGAATTTCAGAGAGTATTAGGTGCAGTCTGGCAAGAGCCAAGGTTTGGGGACCCAGAGTGTGTGTTGGGGTACTGCTGGAGTTTAACCAGCTAAAACCACACAGCTTACACTGAAAACACTATCTGACAAGTTTCCCGCTGCTTGTCCAGTTAGGACCACTCTATCTCCTGGCTCAGGAACAGGACTATTGAGATTGTCATAAAAGGTTGACTTGATTTGCCATTCTGTTTCCATTCCGAGATAGTTCAGCTCCAAGGAGACTTTGCTTATCTCCCCCAAGGAAGATAGTACTAATTACTAGTTACTAGGAGTGCTTGTGGAACTGTACCATCAGCAGCAGGAAAGAAAAGTAAAGTCCTTCAACAGGAGGAAAAAAAAGAAATCAACTTACCACAGACGTCTACACACATGTCTAACTGCACAAAAAGAAATTTCCCATCTGGGCAGAAACAACCTTCAGTGAATGTGCTCTCATCCCTCCATGTGCTCTTGTCAGTGTATCTTAATATTGAGGGCATAAAAGGGGATATAGTCAAGAGAGAGAGCGATAAAATGAGAACAAAACCACAAAATGGAGATTTTTTTTCAAGAGAACACAACAAACCTTAAACTGCAAGTAAGTTGTTGTTTTGGTCCACAGGGCTCATATATCATTGTGTCAGGACAGGTGTAAGCTGTATAATTTTAAGAACAGACATCTTGAGAAACAACACTTGTGTGTTTATTGTGGGTTAATATTTTGTAAATGATCTAAACCAAATTACATTTCAAAGTAAGACTTAATAACTTACGGCATTCCCCATTTGTACTTTCTCGCCAGTTCACGCAAATGCCAGCCTGCAATTTACACATTTGTGCATAGGTTGCTAAACTGGAACAATCCACTGTGGTGTTCTTCATTCGGCATCCATCAAAGATGCATGCCTCATGAAAGGGGCCTGGAGGAATGATATTGTGGCACTCAGCGAAGATACTGAGGAAAGAAGGATAGTTACAAATTCAATCTAAATTCCAGTGTCATTTTGAGTCAGAATGTACAAAGTGTGTATGTATACAGGGAATAGAAATGCAAAAAGCTATGGTTGACCCTAATTGCATCCAATCATAGCATTGCTTAATGTACTTTCTTACACACACACATATGCCATCTCTGTAATGTTATCAGACGCTGCACAGATGCAAATTCCACTGAAATGCAATTTAGTGAATTTGGTATGGTATCGCTGGGATACACAGCTCTAGTCCCTCTCACAAATATATCTTGCAAGAGAAGCAGAAAGAGATTTATTTTACTACAGTACATGTAAGTTCATTGGTATACATGTGGTATTCACAGAATCAAAGGAGGGGTTCAGCTGAAGGAGGTTCTTCAGCCTATTTGATCTCATCCTTCCAGAATACCCACCTGACCGGCTTCCCATTGTAGCCTTAAGTTGTTTCATAAATGAGGTCAGTATCTTATCTATCATTTTTCCTAGTAACCTATTCCAACTGTTGATTTCCTCTCTGTGAAATACATTTATCCTGGTATTTCTCCTGAATTTGTCCTTCACCTGAATTTGCCTTAGCATTTTCGATTGCTTTTATTGGCTAGAGAGTGACCATATTCTAAATGTGTACTGTTAGTAGTTTTCATAATGAGGCACCACTTACTCGCTTAAAATGATCTTGCAAACATCTAGTGGTTCACAATCTATGGGTGTTGTTGTCTGTTTGGTTGGCTGTGAAGGGGGTATTACTGTTGGTGATGGTGCTTCACAGTATGGCTTGCTTTTGTCCTCAGTGTACCAGAAGCCTGCTGCATGAGAGCATGAAGACACCTGGGTTCCATCAGGCAATGTGCAGTCGTCTTTCCTGTCGTTTGTGCAGGTACCTAGAGTCAGGAAATTCAAACAAGACTGCTCTCATTTCTAGTTTTGTTTGTTACAAAGGAAACATTTCCAAGAGCATTGCATAATGATGTAAGGCAACAGGAACAATTCATCACATCCCTTATACTGTATACAATGTGCTGTGTCAAACCTCACCTCATTTGTTTCTTCATGGAAGTGAATTTCAGGATTAGATTCTGGAATGTTTCCACAAACTCTAAAACAACTGAATGTAAACTGCATCAATCTGTACCCAGTGCCTCAGCTCAGCTCTGTACCCAGTGCCTCAGCTCTGTACCCAGTGCCTCAGCTCAGCTCTGTACCCAGTGCCTCAGCTCTGTACCCAGTGCCTCAGCTCTGTACCCAGTGCCTCAGCTCAGCTCTGTACCCAGTGCCTCAGCTCAGCTCTGTACCCAGTGCCTCAGCTCTGTACCCAGTGCCTCAGCTCAGCTCTGTCCCCTCCCCTTCACCCTCTATATGCTCCCCCTGTGGTGACATCATCCGCAGACATGGGGTTCACTCCTACATGTATGCGGATGACACCCAACTCTACCTTTCCTCCTCTACCCTCAACTCCACGACTTCCGATGTCCTGACAGCTGTCTGTCCGACATCGAGTCCTGGACGAGAGACAACTTTCTTCAGCTCAACGTGCGCAAAACTGAGGCCCTCCTGATTGGCTCACGTCAGCGCCTCCACACCTCAGGCACTGACACCATCAGCATCCAAGGCTGCACTCTCCACCTCTCAAAGCCATCAGGAACCTCGGGGTTCTGTTCGACCCTGAGCTGTCCTTTCTCCCTCATATCTGCACCACAACTGGCACCGCCTTCCATCACCTCCGGAATATCGCCAGACTACGGCACTACCTCACCCCTCACGCGGCTGAAACCCTGGTCCACGCCTTTGTCACCTCAAGGCTGGACTATGGGAACTCTCTCCTCGCGGCCTTCCCAGCCCTCCCTCCACACTGCAGGTCATTCAGAACTCTGCAGCTCGTGTACTGTCCTGAACCAGGCTTCGCGCCCACATCACTCCCACCCTCGCTCGCCTCCACTGGCTCCCCATCCCCCAGAGGATCGATTTCAAGATCCTCATCCTCACCTACGAGGCCATTCACGGCCTTGCTCCCTCCTACCTCTCTGAACTACTATCCCCCTACCTCCCTGCCCGTACCCTCCGTTCCTCTGGCTCCGGTCTGCTCCACATCCCCCGCCCCAACCGCCCTACCATCGGTGGCCGGGCCTTCAGCCTCTCAGCCCCGAGGCTTTGAAACTCTATCCCCCAGTGCCTTCGCCGCTTCCTCCCTTTCCTCCTTCAAGGCCGGTCTCAAGACCTTTCTCTTTGACCGAGCCTTCGGCTCCCCTCTTGACTCTCTACTCCCTCCTCGCTCCCTCCCTCCCTTCCCTTCCCTCACACTGACCATTTCCCCCCTGCTCAGGTCCTGACGCAACTGTACAGCGCCTTGGGACATCCTCCTGACGTGAAAGGCGCTCTATAAATGGAATCTTGTTGTTGTTGTAGTGCCTCAGCTCTATACCTAGTGCCTCAGCTCTGTACCCAGTGCCTCAGTTCTGTACCCAGTGCCTCAGTTCTGTACCCAGTGCCTCAGTTCTGTACCCAGTGCCTCAGCTCTGTACCCAGTGCCTCAGCTCTATATCTAGTGACTCAGCTCAGCTCTGTACCCAATGTCCTCACCTCAGAGCTTGCAACTTTATACTTTGAAAAATATCAGTCTTACGTACCGCATTGTCCTTCAGTATTTTCTCCAAATATTTTATAGGGAAGAATCACAATAAAGCTCATGCCATCAAAAATAATGGTAGCGTTGATATCAATAATCTCTGCCTTTACTGCAATGTTTGAGGTGGTGATCCTGAGAAAGTCCTCTTCAAATGGTTGCACTATCTCATTGTTGTTGAGCAGTACCTGTGTAAAAGAAACCACATCCTTCAGCCAACTGGTCACCAGCATCTGCAAACATGCTAATTCTATTAGACACAAGACCACTCAAAAGTTTGGTCAGAATTCTGGACACTAGACAATATACACAGATAGTGAGCATGTTATTGCAAAGAAGTCTTCTATGAGTCAATTCTTACTAAAATCCTCCATTGTTAGAAAAACACAACGATCAAAAGATTTCAGTTTATCCATCTGGTTATGGTCAGATTGAATGTGTGAGCAAGTGCTCTATTAAGAGTACAGGTGTGAGTAGATACAACTTACATTTATATAATAATAAAATAAAATAATCCTTGCATTTGATATAGCGCCTTATCATGTCTTCGAGACATCTCAAAGTACTTCTCAGAATATATTGTAAAGTGAATTAATGTTGTGGGCGAAATGCAGCAGCAGTACCCCATAAACAATGGTGAATCGAGTGACCAACTTATTATTTTTTTTAAGGAATTATTATCCCTGGGAAAGAGATCCGCCAATTGACTAACAACCAAGCTCCTACTTACAGCTCAGTACAGAAGTGTGGAAAACTTGCCCAACTTTTCGCTCTGACTAACGTATACCATCCGCACTAACATATAGCGCCCTTCATGCAGGTTAGTGTCCAGGAGATACAAGCACCAGACACATGAAAACATGTTTCACTTCTCAACATGTAAAGATTCATTGACATTCACTAGGATATACTCAATGTAATATAGTTTCTCCCACTTTTCTACTATCTGAAGATAGTCAATAAGGCTAATTGCAACATCCTACTGTTGCCCGGGCTGATATTGGTTAACATAGTAAAAAAGATTAACTGTATCTTGGACAATCTAGCTCTGTGTGTCTCAGTCCCAAAGCGCAAGGTAAATTTGACCACTAATCTGCAGGCAAATCAACTACTTCTTCCTCACTAATTATACATCAGATGGTACCTTGGTTTTGATGTTTCCTTTGATGATTGATTGAGTCAGTGTTATTACTGAGGATTTGTAGAATATTGTGATGGCCTTTGGACATGATAGACCTTCCTGAGCATCACAGAAATAGTTCTCTAAATAAATTTTGAAGTTTTCGATTACTTCTGTTATCTGCTTCACCAGTATGTAAGTACAGTTTCCTTGGAATGTGTAATACGTTCCATCAAAAGTGAGGTAATGAGGATCTCCCCATCCAGAACAGATACCTGCAATTGTAAAATTAATTCTGAGCACATAAGTTTCAAGTAAAACAATTCTCCCCCTCTCCTCAATTCATCCCAGCACGTGAGATGTCCTCCCGACGTGAAAGGTGCTATATACACATAAATTGTTGTGTTTGCACCAAAATGTCAATTCAGCAAAGCACTTTTGCTGCAATACTTACAGTCACACTCATAATGATAGCAACAGTCGAATTTGTCATAAACTTTTTTGGGTGGTCGCCCATTTTGACACGTAATTGGTTGGACACTTGGACAAGTCATCGGAACCACCGAAATAATGTTGTTCCCTTCACAAATTGCCATTGTGCAATTACTCAACATCCAGGTTTCATTTAGCTATGATTTGCAGAGAGAGGAAACTTCATTAGCTTTTGTACTTAACAAATAAGACTCAAATCAAGATATTCAACAGATTCACTATGTTCAGGAAGCCAGTGAAATCGTACAGACAGATGAAGCAGTGAGCTCTCAGTCAGCCAGTACAGGAGAACTGGTGGTGAATGCTCCACAGGATAGCATAGTACAGCAGGGGATTGAACAAGGGCCACTACAAGGAAAACAAGGATATCTCAGCAGAAGATGATGATAGGAACCCTGTTCTCACATTCAGATGCTTCCCCCAAGTACTTTGTATTTATATCTCACCTCCATTTGGACTATTTAGGAAACATTCACTTTAACTAAGATCTTCCATGAAATCTAAAGTAAGATTCAGTTGTAAAAGAATTATACAGAACACAATATTGCAAATACTCCACCAAAAATATGCCTGCCGCTTCAACATAAATTCAGTTGTATCTAATATTAATAAATGACACTTACTGGGCTACCAAATTATCAGTAAACTACATATTGAATTTACCAAATGAGTCCAGCCCAATTTCAATATGATGAATAAAACAGGAATAAATGAATATTGTGCGGGTACTCATTTTCAGTTAATTTTAGCATGGCTCTGTCAGAATGGAAACAGCTGCCCCCAGGACTATTTACTCACTTTTCTCGGAGGGTTTACTGCTGTACAATTGGTCAAAGCTGGATGTGTGGTCATAGTTTGGGTAGATGTAGATTCTGTTGTGGTTGATTTCAATGTAATGTCTGTTTCTGTTGATTTAGAATTGGTTGTGCTAGAACTTGTGGCAGATACTGATGGCATGGGGACTGCGGTACTTTCACATTTTCCTACATGCTTCTCAATCTCACAATTCTCATTGCAGAGTGCATAAAAACACCAGCCAGCTTTATCCGTGGAATTGTATATTATCTCCCCTAGAAAGAAGAAACATATTAAAGCAGCCTTAAAAACCTCAATTTACGTTTTCTCATGTACTAAATGTTTAACTAGGGGTTTGAAGAAAAAACACTAGCACACACAATGTTATGACTGTGCTGTGTCATTGGATGATAGTTACAGCTTGTATCCACAGTGCTTCACTCATGAAATTCCTTGCCTCCCCTGGTCTTCCTCCTCAGGAAAAGTGATGAATTCCCAGGAGGGAAGGATAGTTAATGGAAACTCAGAAGGCTGAAGAGATGTCAGCCTACTTCAGTAGATAGCATTCTTGACTCTGAATCAGAAGTTTGTAAGTTCAAGTCCCACTTTGTGAGTTAGAGCTCATAGGCCAGGCTGACACTCCGGTGTCTAGGCGGATAATATAATAATAATAATCCTTGGATTTGATATAGTGCTTTATCACGTCTTTGTGATGTCACTTATACACTGTAAAGTGAATTGACTGTGCATTTTGTGGGCAAAATCTAGGCCTGGGGGTGCCTCCTAATCCCCTGCAAACCTGTCGACTCCCTTCGCTCAGCGGGCTCCAGCCTGCTTCCCGTCCCCTACCTCGCACCCCCCCCACCATTGGCAGGCGGGCTTTCTGCCCCCACTCTCTGGAATTCCATCCGGCAATCCCTCCGCCTCACACCCTCCCTTGCCTCCTTCAAGACCCATCTCAAGACCCTCCTCTTCGCCGAGCTATCGGTCACCCTCCATACCCCCTGCCCTAATCCCTCCTCGATGCTGACCCCCAGTTCTGGACCTAAACATTGATTGTCCAGTGCTTTGGGATGTTCTTCCAACATGCAAGGCGCTATACAAATGTAAATTTATTCTTGTTGCTCCTTTCGATGAGACATTAAACCGAGGTCTTGCCTGCCTGTTCAGTTTGATGTTAGAGATCCCCTGCCACTTTTTTTTTTAAAATACTAGGAAATTCCTGGCCAATAGTTCCCCTACATAAAATTGGTCATTTGCTTCATTGCTATTTGTGGAATATTGCTGTGCTCAAACTGGCTGCCACATTTGCCGACAAATACACAGTCACTATGCTTTAGAGACATTTTTAGACATTTTGTTTTGAGGCATTTTCAACAAGATTTGGAAAGGCATTATATCAAAATGTGAAGATTATTATTATAATGGTAATAAGACTGAATTTACTGCCAGCAAATCAGGATGAAGTGTCAGTGGACTCTCCGTGGGGCAGCATGAAGAGACAATGGATTGTTAGAAGAACTGAAAGGGAGATTTGATTTGTGTTGGAGGTTTTCAAAGTTAGTGCTGTAGCAGCTATAGCCATCAATTATCAATATGAATTGTATTTTTAACCAAAAATGCACTTGTAAATTAACCATTTAAAGAGGAACATAATTAAAGTTGTTCAAATAGTCAAAAACAATATTCAATTACTACAATAAATTACATTCACGTTGTACAATTTACAAATTAAGTTTAAATTTGAGATTTATACGGAAATTATTGCAAAGATCTTAATCTACCAATTGCTGATATTGCAAATAAACACATACCAGGTTTAAGAATTTGTCCATTGATACTGCAGAAGCAGGTTATTGTGGAGCTCAAAATAGCAGAAGGAGACAAGGTGGTGTTTGCATTTGTAGTTGGTATGTTGGTTGAAGCAGCTGTGGTGGATGGAGTCACTGTTGATGTGGTGGTTGGAGCAGCTGTTGATGTGATGGTCGGAGCAGCTGTTGATGTAGTGGTTGGAGCAGCTGTTGATGTGGTGGTTGGAGTCGCTGTTGATGTGGTGGTCGGAGTCGCTGTTGATGTGGTGGTTGGAGTCGCTGTTGATGTGGTGGTTGAAGCAGCTGTTGATGTGGTGATTGGAGCCGCTGTTGTTGAACAGTGCAATGAGCAGCAGAGAACGCTTATCTGATAATTATCACAAAGTGGAATATCTGCAATCTGGTCCCTATTGTAGCATTTCAGTCCAAAGGAAACATTGCACTGCACATTCTGTTGAAGATCATCGAATGCAATGTCTGGAGTTTTTTCTGCTCTGCACTTGATATCACTGGGGTTCATACATAAATCATATTCCATTCGGATTTTCTCATAGGTTTCAAAATCACCACCTGCTTCACCAATTTGTGGCTGAGTTGCATCCAACCAATGTGTCCATGCACATTCGGGCTGACATTGTGTAATCAATGTGGTGGTTGGAGTCGCTGTTGATGCGGTGGTTGGAGCAGCTGTTGATGTGATGGTTGGAGTCGCTGTTGATGTGGTGGTTGGAATCGTTGTTGATGTGATGGTTGGAGTCACTCTTGATGTGGTGGTTGGAGCAGCTGCTGATGTGGTGGTTGGAGCAGCTGTTGATGTGGTGGTTGGAGTCGCTGTTGATGTGGTGGTTGGAGCAGCTGTTGATGTGGTGGTTGGAGTCGCTGTTGATGTGGTGGTTGGAGTCGCTGTTGATGTGGTGGTTGGAGCAGCTGTTGATGTGGTGGTTGGAGTCGCTGTTGATGTGGTGGTTGGAGCAGCTGTTGATGTGATGGTCGGAGCAGCTGTTGATGTAGTGGTTGGAGCAGCTGTTGATGTGGTGGTTGGAGTCGCTGTTGATGTGGTGGTCGGAGTCGCTGTTGATGTGGTGGTTGGAGCCGCTGTTGTTGAACAGTGCAATGAGCAGCAGAGAACGCTTATCTGATAATTATCACAAAGTGGAATATCTGCAATCTGGTCCCTATTGTAGCATTTCAGTCCAAAGGAAACATTGCACTGCACATTCTGTTGAAGATCATCGAATGCAATGTCTGGAGTTTTTTCTGCTCTGCACTTGATATCACTGGGGTTCATACATAAATCATATTCCATTCGGATTTTCTCATAGGTTTCAAAATCACCACCTGCTTCACCAATTTGTGGCTGAGTTGCATCCAACCAATGTGTCCATGCACATTCGGGCTGACATTGTGTAATCAATGTGGTGGTTGGAGTCGCTGTTGATGCGGTGGTTGGAGCAGCTGTTGATGTGATGGTTGGAGTCGCTGTTGATGTGGTGGTTGGAATCGTTGTTGATGTGATGGTTGGAGTCACTCTTGATGTGGTGGTTGGAGCAGCTGCTGATGTGGTGGTTGGAGCAGCTGTTGATGTGGTGGTTGGAGTCGCTGTTGATGTGGTGGTTGAAGCAGCTGTTGATGTGGTTGTTGGACCCGCTGTTGATGTGGTGGTCGGAGCAGCTGTTGATGTAGTGGTTGGAGCAGCTGTTGATGTGGTGGTTGGAGTCGCTGTTGATGTGGTGGTTGGAGTCGCTTTTGATGTTGTGGTTGGAGTCGCTGTTGATGTGGTGGTTGGAGCGGCTGTTGTTGAACAGTCCAATGAACAGCAGAGAACGCTTATCTGATAATTATCACAAAGTGGTCTATCCCCAATCTGGTCCCTATTGTAGCATTTCAGTCCGAAGGAAACATTGCACTGCACATTCTGTTGAAGATCATCGAATGCAATGTCTGGAGTTTTTTGTGCTCTGCACTTGATATCACTGGGGTTCATACATAAATCATATTCCATTCTGATATTCTCATAGGTTTCAAAATCACCACCTGCTTCACCAATCTGTGGCTTAGTCGTATCCAACCAGTGTGTCCATGTACATGTGTGCTGACATTCTGTAATCAATTTGGCAGTTGGAGTCGCTGTTGATGTGGTGGTTGGAGTCGCTGTTGATGTGGTGGTTGGAGCAGCTGTTGAAGTGGTGGTTGGAGCATCCGTTAATGTGGTGGTTGGAGCCGCTGTTGATGTGGTGGTTGGAGCAGCTGTTGATGTGGTGGTTGGAGTCGCTGTTGATGTGGTGGTTGGAGCAGCTGTTGATGTGGTGGTTGGAGTCGCTGTTGATGTGGTGGTTGGAGCAATTGTTGATGTGGTGGTTGGAGTCGCTGTTGATGTGGTGGTTGGAGTCGCTGTTGATGTGGTGGTTGGAGTCGCTGTTGATGTGGTAGTTGGAGTCGCTGTTGATGTGGTGGTTGGAGCCGCTGTTGATGTGGTGGTTGGAGCAGCTGTTGATGTGGTGGTTGGAGTCGCTGTTGATGTGGTGGTTGTAATCGCTGTTGATGTGGTGGTTGGAGTCGCTGTTGATGTGGTGGTTGGAGCGGCTGTTGTTGAACAGTCCAATGAACAGCAGAGAACGCTTATCTGATAATTATCACAAAGTGGTCTATCCCCAATCTGGTCCCTATTGTAGCATTTCAGTCCGAAGGAAACATTGCACTGCACATTCTGTTGAAGATCATCGAATGCAATGTCTGGAGTTTTTTGTGCTCTGCACTTGATATCACTGGGGTTCATACATAAATCATATTCCATTCTGATATTCTCATAGGTTTCAAAATCACCACCTGCTTCACCAATCTGTGGCTTAGTCGTATCCAACCAGTGTGTCCATGTACATGTGTGCTGACATTCTGTAATCAATTTGGCAGTTGGAGTCGCTGTTGATGTGGTGGTTGGAGTCGCTGTTGATGTGGTGGTTGGAGCAGCTGTTGAAGTGGTGGTTGGAGCATCCGTTAATGTGGTGGTTGGAGCCGCTGTTGATGTGGTGGTTGGAGCAGCTGTTGATGTGGTGGTTGGAGTCGCTGTTGATGTGGTGGTTGGAGCAGCTGTTGATGTGGTGGTTGGAGTCGCTGTTGATGTGGTGGTTGGAGCAATTGTTGATGTGGTGGTTGGAGTCGCTGTTGATGTGGTGGTTGGAGTCGCTGTTGATGTGGTGGTTGGAGTCGCTGTTGATGTGGTAGTTGGAGTCGCTGTTGATGTGGTGGTTGGAGCTGCTGTTGATGTGGTGGTTGGAGCAGCTGTTGATGTGGTGGTTGGAGTCGCTGTTGATGTGGTGGTTGTAATCGCTGTTGATGTGGTGGTTGGAGCTGCTGTTGATGTGGTAGTTGGAGCCGCTGTTGTTGAACAGTCCAATGAGCAGCATAGAACGCTTATCTGATAATTATCACAAAGTGGACTATCCGCAATCTGGTCCCTATTGTAGCATTTCAGTCCGAAGGAAACATTGCACTGCACATTCTGTTGAAGATCATCGAATGCAATGTCTGGAGTTTTTTCTGCTCTGCACTTGATATCACTGGGGTTCATACATAAATCATATTCCATTCTGATTTTCTCATAGGTTTCAAAATCACCACCTGCTTCACCAATTTGTGGCTGAGTTGCATCCAACCAATGTGTCCATGTACATTCGGGCTGACATTGTGTAATCAATGTGGTGGTTGGAGTCACTGTTGATGTGGTGGTTGGAGCAGCTGTTGATGTGGTGGTTGGAGTTGCTGTTGATGTGGTGGTTGGAGTCGCTGTTGATGTGGTGGTCGGAGCAGCTGTTGATGTAGTGGTTGGAGCAGCTGTTGATGTGGTGGTTGGAGTCGCTGTTGATGTGGTGGTTGGAGCAGCTGCTGATGTGGTGGTTGGAGTCGCTGTTGATGTGGTGGTTGGAGCAATTGTTGATGTGGTGCTTGGAGTCGCTTTTGATGTGGTGGTTGGAGTCGCTGTTGATGTGGTGGTTGGAGTCGCTGTTGATGTGGTGGTTGGAGTCGCTGTTGATGTGGTGGTTGGAGCTGCTGTTGATGTGGTGGTTGAAGCAGCTGTTGATGTGGTGGTTGGAGCCGCTGTTGTTGAACAGTCCAATGAACAGCATAGAACGCTTATCTGATAATTATCACAAAGTGGACTATCCGCAATCTGGTCCCTATTGTAGCATTTCAGTCCAAAGGAAACATTGCACTGCACATTCTGTTGAAGATCATCGAATGCAATGTCTGGAGTTTTTTCTGCTCTGCACTTGATATCACTGGGGTTCATACATAAATCATATTCCATTCTGATATTCTCATAGGTTTCAAAATCACCACCTGCTTCACCGATCTGTGGCTGAGTTGCATCCAACCAATGTGTCCATGTACATTCGGGCTGACATTTTGTAGTGGCTGGCGTTGCTGTTGATGTGGTGGTTGGAGCAGCTGTTGATGTGGTGGTTGGAGTTGCTGTTGATGTGGTGGTTGGAGTCGCTGTTGATGTGGTGGTTGAAGCAGCTGTTGATGTGGTTGTTGGACCCGCTGTTGATGTGGTGGTCGGAGCAGCTGTTGATGTAGTGGTTGGAGCAGCTGTTGATGTGGTGGTTGGAGCAGCTGTTGATGTGGTGGTTGGAGTCGCTGTTGATGTGGTGGTTGGAGCAATTGTTGATGTGGTGGTTGGAGTCGCTTTTGATGTTGTGGTTGGAGTCGCTGTTGATGTGGTGGTTGGAGCTGCTGTTGATGTGGTGGTTGAAGCAGCTGTTGATGTGGTGGTTGGAGTCACTGTTGATGTGGTGGTTGGAGCAGCTGTTGATGTGGTGGTTGGAGCAGCTGTTGATGTGGTGGTTGGAGTCACTGTTGATGTGGTGGTTGGAGTCGATGTTGATGTGGTGGTTGGTGAGGTTGTGGATGGTGATGTGTTAGCACAAGGTTCGTAATAGCAACAGTAAATGCTAATTTCATAGTTTTTGCAGATTGGTGGAAATTGGTCATCATTTCTGCAAACAAGTCCAATAGATTTGTTGCAAACCACAATTTGACCCAAATCCTCCAAGTTCAAATCTTCATAACCTATTGCTCTGCATTTAATATCATCTGGCTTCAAACAAACAGGGTATCCCTTCATTCTAATATTTTCATAGGTTTCAAAATCTCCCTGATCTGATCCATATTTAGGGTAGCTGACATCATACCAGTCAGACCATTTGCACACCTTCCTCTGACAGGCAGTAATTTCACTTGAATACAATGTGGTTATTGTAGTCACGATTTCAATTGTTGAGGTTGTGGTAGTAGAGACACTGGATGTTGAGGTTGATGTGGTGGTTGGAGCTGCTGTTGATGTGGTTGGAGTCGCTGTTGATGTGGTGGTTGGAGTCGCTATTGATGTGGTTGTTGGAGCCGCTGTTGATCTGGTGGTTGGAGCTGCTTTTGATGTGGTGGTTGGAGCCGTTGTTGATGGGGTGGTTGGAGTCGCTGTTGTTGTGGTGGTTGGAGCAGCTGTTGATGTGGTTGGAGTCGCTGTTGATGTGGTGGTTGGAGTCGCTATTGATGTGGTTGTTGGAGCCGCTGTTGATCTGGTGGTTGGAGCTGCTTTTGATGTGGTGGTTGGAGCCGTTGTTGATGGGGTGGTTGGAGTCGCTGTTGTTGTGGTGGTTGGAGCAGCTGTTGATGTGGTGGTTGGAGTCGTTGTTGTTGAACAGTCCAATGAGCAGCATAGAACGCTTATCTGATAATTATCACAAAGTGGACTATCCCCAAACTGGTCCCTATTGTAGCATTTCAGTCCAAAGGAAACATTGCACTGCACATTCTGTTGAAGATCATCGAATGCAATGTCTGGAGTTTTTTGTGCTCTGCACTTGATATCACTGGGGTTCATACATAAATCATATTCTATTCTGATATTCTCATAGGTTTCAAAATCACCGCCTGCTTCACCGATCTGTGGCTGAGTTGCATCCAACCAATGTGTCCATGCACATTCGGGCTGACATTTTGTAGTGGTTGGTGCATGTGTTGATGTGGTGGTTGGAGTCGCTGTTGATGTGGTGGTTGGAGTTGCTGTTGATGTGGTGGTTGGAGTCGCTGATGATGTGGTGGTTGGTGTCGCTGTTGATGTGGTTGTTGGAGCAGCTGTTGATGTGGTGGTTGGAGTCGCTGTTGATGTGGTGGTTGTAATCGCAGTTGATGTGGTGGTTGGAGTCGCTGTTGATGTGGTGGTTGGAGTCGCTGTTGATGTGGTGGTTGGATTCGATGTTGATGTGGTGGTTGGAGTCGCTGTTGATGTGGTGGTTGGTGTCGCTGTTGATGTGGTTGTTGGTGCAGCTGTTGATGTGGTGGTTGGTGTCGCTGTTGATGTGGTGTTTGGAGCAGCTGTTGATGTGGTGGTTGGATTCACTGTTGATGTGGTGGTTGGAGCAACTGTTGATGTCGTGGTTGGAGTCGCTGTTGATGTGGTGGTTGGAGTTGCTGTTGATGTGGTGGTTGGATTCACTGTTGATGTGGTGGTTGGTGAGGTTGTGGATGGTGATATGTTAGCACAGGGTTCGTAATGGCAACAGTAAATGCTTATTTCATAGTTTTTGCAGATTGGTGGAAATTGGTCATCATTTCTGCAAACAAGTCCAATAGATTTGTTGCAAACCACAATTTGACCCAAATCCTCCAAGTTCAAATCTTCATAACCTGTTGCTCTGCATTTAATGTCCTCTGGCTTCAAACAAACAGGGTATCCCTTCCTTCTAATATTTTCATAGGTTTCAAAATCTCCCTGATCTGATCCATATTTAGGGTAGCTGACATCATACCAGTCAGACCATTTGCACACCTTCTTCTGACAGGCAGTAATTTCAGTGGAATACAATGTGGTTATTGCAGTTACGATTTCAGTTGTTGAGGTTGTGGTAATAGAGACACTGGATGTTGAGGTTGATGTGGTGGTTGGAGCTGCTGTTGATGTGGTGGTTGGAGTCGCTGTTGATGTGATGCTTGGAGTCACTGTTGATGTGGTGGTTGAAGTCGCTGTTGATGTGGTTGTTGGAACAGCTGTTGATGTGATGGTTGAAGCAGCTGTTGATGTGGTTGTTGGAGTCGCTGTTGATGTGGTGGTTGGAGTCGCTGTTGATGTGATGCTTGGAGTCACTGTTGATGTGGTGGTTGAAGTCGCTGTTGATGTGGTTGTTGGAGTCGCTGTTGATGTGGTGGTTGGAGTCACTGTTGATGTCGTGGTTGGAGCAGCTGTTGATGTGGTGGTTGGAGTCACTGTTGATGTGATGGTTGGAGTCGCTGTTGATATGGTGGTTGGAGCAGCTGTTGATGTGGTGGTTGGAGCAACTGTTGATGTGGTGGTTGGAGTCGCTGTTGTTGAACAGTCCAATGAGCAGCATAGAACGCTTATCTGATAATTATCACAAAGTGGACTATCCCCAATCTGGTCCCTATTGTAACATTTCAGTCCAAAGGAAACATTGCACTGCACATTCTGTTGAAGATCATCGAATGCAATGTCTGGAGTTTTTTGTGCTCTGCACTTGATATCACTGGGGTTCATACATAAATCATATTCCATTCTGATATTCTCATAGGTTTCAAAATCACCACCTGCTTCACCGATCTGTGGCTGAGTTGCATCCAACCAATGTGTCCATGTACATTCGGGCTGACATTTTGTTGTGGTTGGCGCATGTGTTGATGTGGTGGTTGGTGTCGCTGTTGATGTGGCGGTTGGAGCAGCTGTTGATGTGGTGGTTGGAGTCGCTGTTGATGTGGTGGTTGGTGTCGCTGTTGATGTGGTGGTTGGTGTCGCTGTTGATGTGGTGGTTGGAGCAGCTGTTGATGTGGTGGTTGGAGTCACTGTTGATGTGGTGGTTGGATATAAGGATAAATTTGGATCAATAAATAATCCTTGCATTTGATATGATATCAATAATGTTCTGTTCTATATTAAATGAAATTTGACTGTGTATTTGCAGTTCACCATCCCATTCTTTGACTGTGTTATTAATTTTAGTTTCTGTCTACCTTTGGTTTGGATGGATGAAAAGGCACCTCATGCCATTGCTATTTGAAATAAACATTCATCTTGTCTCTGTTATCAAGATTTATATTCTCACACTGATCTAAATTTACCCCAAATTCATGTTTATAGGTTGTTGCTCTTGTTAATTAGTCATATTTACAAAGAGGGTAGGTTCAATTGGCACTAATTAGACCTCTTGTAACTTTTATTCCTAGTTTATGACTACCCATTTCATAGATTATGTACAATGAGTTTCTGATCTTGTATAACATTCACTTTATATCTAATAAATTAGTTTGCAAAGTGCTTCAAGACATTTTTTTAAAAGGTGCTATATAAATGCATATTATTACAATAATTTTGAAATGTCTCCAAGCACTTGCAATTGCTATTGAAGGTAGTGACTGCAGTTGAAGACAAATACAAATCTACTAATTTACTCAGTAAAATTCCACAAATAGGCATGACTAATTTACAAATGGGAAACGTATCCTCATTTTAAATAGCATTATCGGATCTTAAACATTCACCTGAACAGGCAAACGCGATATTTATTTAATGGCTCATCCAAAGAATAGCACTTCTGGATGCACCAATGCAGTGGAAGAAGAGAATACATGGTTTAGAATCGCAAAGGGCAATTTCAGAACAGATAAAAGGATTTTTTTTACTCAGAGAGTAATTAATAAGTGGAACAGGTTGACAAGTGGTTGAGGCCAGGATCCTGGTCTCATTTAAAAAGTAGTGTGATGGGAAAACAGTAGGGTGGACATTGTGGAGGGACAAGATCAGATGGACTTCATCCCAACTAATCTTGTCATGCAGCACTCATCTGTTACAGAATTGAAATGTCAACCAAAACTGTGAGTTTAAAATCTGACATGGGGCTTTATTCTAAAATGTTTCAAAAGATGTTTGATAAGGTGCCGGATAAGAGACTTGTAAGCAAAATAGAAGCCCACGGTATTAAAGGGACAGTGGCAGCGGATACAGAACTGGCTGGGAGACACTATTGGAACCACATAAATGACCTTGACCTGGGTATAGTGAGTACAATTTCCAAGTGTGCAGATGGTACTAAGTTAGGAAAAGTAGTAAACGGTGAGGACGATAGTAGCAGACTGCAAATGGACATAGACAGACTGGTAAAATGGGCAGACACGTGGCAGATGAAGTTTAAAATGGAGAAATGCGAAGTGATGTATTTTGGGAGGAAGAATGAGGAGAGGCAATATACGCTGATGGTACAACCTTAAAGGGGGTGAAGGAACAGAGAGACCTGGGGGTTCATATAAGGAAATTTTTGAAGATGCAGGACAGGTAGATAAAGCTGTTAAAAAAGCACATGGGATGATACTCGGCTTTATAAATAGGGCATAGAATACAAAAGTCAGGAAATTATAATGAACCTTTATAAAACACTGGTTAGGCCTCAGCTCGAGACTGGGTTCCATTCTGGACCCCACACTTTGTCAAGGCATTGGAGAGGGTGCAAAGGAGATTGACCAGGATGGTACCAGGAATGAGGGACTTCAGTTATCAGGAGAGGCGAGAGAAGCTTCGATTATTCTCCTTGGAGCAGAGAAGGTTAAGAGGCGACTTAATAGAAGTTTTCAGAATTATGAGGGAATTCGATAGGGTGAACAAGGAGAAACTTTTCCACTGGCGGGAGGGTCGGTAACCCGAGGACTCCGATTTAAAATAGTTGTTAAAAGAAACAAAGGAGATGAGAAGAAGTTGTTTCCAACAGTGAGTTGTTTGGATCTGGAATGGGTGGTGGAAGCTTTTAAGAGAGAAGTAGATAATTATTTGGGGAGGACAAGTTTGCAAGTCTATGGAAAGAGAGCAGGGGAGTGGGGTTGATTTGGAAGCTATTTTAAAAGAGGCCCTATGGGCCGAATGGCCTCCTTCTGTGCTGTATAATTCCATGATTATTTGAAAACATCCGCTGTCTGAGATCTACCTGTTTTGACCTCCGTCTGTGTGATTGTAGTAGCTGATGAGATTTCAAAAATCAGTGTTGTACTGGGCACTGTGGAAGGGATTGGAGTACAAGGGTAGACTTCTCTGTTTATTGTTCCATTCACAGCACAAGTTGCTTTGATGCACCCTCCAATACCATCTGTTGTATGGTAGATTATGTCACCTACATGGAAGGTTTTGTCGTCGTAAACACAGGTGCACTCTGCAAAGAACAAAGAGATCAGAAACTCATTGTACATAATCTATGAAATGGGTAGTCATAAACTAGGAATAAAAGTTACAAGAGGTCTAATTAGTGCCAAGTGAACCTACCATCTTTGTTGTAGCTGCATTCTATATCGTTGTTGACACATGTGCTAAAATAAATTGAATGCAATACATTAGTTACATATTTTTATACTTGAAGTATTTTTTGCAAAGTGCAATAAAATGCATCCAGTTGCTTTCTTTTTTATTTTGCACTCATAAATCTCATCCAATCGGATTCGATTCCATCCTTTAGATGAGGCAGTAAATCAAGGTCTGTTGGTTCAGGTGGACGTTAAGGACTTTAGCCCCCACGCCTACTGGTGGCAGGGAGTGCAGTGGGTGGGGGTATAATGACTGAAGGCTCAGTGGCCGATGGTGGTGTAGAGCGGTCAGGGTATGCGCAGCAGGCCTGTGTTAGTTGAGTGGAGGGAGCAGGCAGGGAGTGGGGTACAAGCACTTGCAAAAGAGATATGGAAGTGCTAGGGCATGAAACAATTTGCGTATGAGGGTGAAAGCCTTGAAGTCAATTTATTTGGCAACTGGGAGCCAGTGGAGCCCAACGAGGATTAGGGTAATGGGTGTGCAGAGTTTGATGTGGATGATGTTACAGGCAGCAGATTTTTATCTGGGGAATTGTTGGCCACAACACTGGGAGAAATTCCTTTCTCTTTTTGAATAGTGCTATGGGCAACTTAATATTGACACAGTACCTCAGTTTAACATCTCATCCAAAGGACGGTACCTCTGAGAATACAGCCCTCCCCCAGCTTAATGTCCCTTCGTGGGACTTGAACCCACAACCTCTCTTTAGAGGTGAGAATGTTAACAAGTGAACTAGGCTAACAAATATTAGTCAAACAAGTAGCTCTCTTTATGTTTTATAATGGAATTCCATTTACATATAGTGATCATAGTCCCACTGAGTGGAAATACGTTTCATTCTGCCTCTTCTCAATAAGCGCAACTTGTCTCTTTTCACGACAAAAGAATATCTTGATATAGTAATTATTAATAAATGTAAGACCAGTTACAGCAACATTTACCATGATTGACAGTTCTGAGTTGTAGGAACAATCTGTCCTGGTTCATAGTGTTTTCCATTGATATAACATGAGCATTGTTCCATTGTAACACACTTCATTCCTTCCTCATCCAGTAATGGCTTATCACTGGGGCAGTCTGGGTAGCAGCCTATGGGGTAGAACAAATGCCACAGAGGTTCATAAACATTTTATTTTTCTGACATTGATCAGCTCTGCAATAATAATAATAATCTTTGTATTTGATATGGTGCCTCAACATGTCCTTGAGACATCTCAAAGCGCTTCACAGATTTTACTGAAACAAAAACAGAAGTCGCTGAGAACACTCAGCAGGTCAGACAGCATCTATGGAGAAAGGAAAGTGAGTCAATGTTTTGGGTCCACGACCCTTTGTCAGAACTGGGGCACGTTGGGAGGGAGAGGCTTTTAAGGGATAACAGAGACGGTGGGGGGAGGGCAAGGAAAACAAAGGAGAAAATGGGGTAGAGGACAGGGGATGGTGGGTTAAAGAGGTGTTAACGTTGGGACGTTCTCCCGACATGAAAGGCGCTATCCAAATGTAATGTTGTTGTTAATGATGCAAAACAAAGAGGGTGGGGGGGGGGGGGGGGGGTGGAATTGCAACAAAACAGGCAGACCAGAGAGAGAAAAGGTGTGTCTGAGACCCAGATGATATGATAATGGTCACAGAATGGGGGTAAGGGGGAAGGTGAGCTGTTATGGTATGAAATTATTTAAATCAATATTGAGGCCAGAGGGCTGTAAGGTGATGGGGTGCTGTTCCTCGAGCTTGCGCTGTGATTCATTGGAACAGCATAGGAGACCATGGATGGAGAGGTCAGAGTGCGAGTGGGAGGGAGATCCATTGCCACATCATCTGGGTTTCAGACACACTTTTTCTCTCTCTGGTCTGCTTGTTTTCCTTTCTCCATAGATGCTGCCTGACCCAATGAATGTTCCCAGTGACTTCTGTTTTTGTTTCAGAATTCCAGGATCTCCAGTATCATGCAAAGTGAATTGACTGTATAAACAGATCATAAGCTGCTTTTTTTCACAATTAACAGTCTATAAGATATTGGACAGTCTGTGAATATTTATTGTGTAAAATTTATTTTATATTTTGCACTGGAACTAGCAAAACCATTTCAGAAATTATAATCTCAGTATATAAAGGTAATAAAATAATAAATATAAGCTTGGGTTCTCTCCTGCACCAGGCTCCACAAGCCCCCACTATCCCCATGCCCCCATCCTTGCCCAGCTTCCCTGGCTGCCCAGAGGATCGAGGTCAAGATCCTCGCCCTCACTTTTAAATCCCTCCACTGTCTTGTTCCAGCCTATCTCTGTGATCTTCTAAAACCTTGCCAGCCCGTTTGTTCCATCCATTCAACAGGCACTGGCCTACAGCCTTTCTGACCCCACTCTCTGGAACTCCATCCCAGAATCCCTTTCCCTTGGCCTCACTTTTTTCAAGGCGTGTCTCTTTGACCGGCTTTCATCTTGCCTCCCCCATCCGCTGGGCTGCCCAAATGCAACTCCCAGCTAAGGTGCAACCTCTCAACTGTCCAGTGCCTTTGGTCGTCCTCCCGATGTGAAACGCATTTATATAAATGCAATTTGTTGTTGCTTATATAATAAATAATATTGAGAACCAGAAGAGTGAATAAAACATACCTTCAAGTTTGGGAATGATTTTGGAACATGCTCCACCAGGGTTTTGGCAAGTTTTGACACAGGGAACCCCACAAGGTGCATAGTGCCATTTACATTCATCTTCAGGATTATAGTAGTCACAAAACAGAGCTGAAAGCACAGAAATTATTGCATTAATTTCCTTCCATACAATATCTGTAGAATTCTACATCTCTATCTAATCAATCCTGTAGATTGAGATGCTTCTGATATATCATGTTATCAGTTGAAGCCTTTAGCTTAGCTGCAAAAAAGCAGTTTCCCAGCTGGATCAAGAGTCGTTCCAGGCTGATCTCACTATCCAGCGCAGAGGAACATCTGACAAAGTATGTTTCCATCATCCATCAGTACATCAGCCTGTCTCCTCTAAGCTGGGGCAAAGCAGTAGGTATCAAATCCATGGAAAGTTCTACAGCCTTTTCACTCAGTTTGCATTAAATGGTTACATGATCACAAACACGAAACTGGCTACTGAATACTAATATGATGATGTAAAACTTAATGAGATGTTTGTGTACAAAGCTACAAGAGAGAAGCTGCAACTTCAAATTTAAACACAAATCCTTTCTTGAATCCTCTCTTTCCATTGCATGTGGTTTTCACATAAGAAAAAAAGAACATTATTTTCAAAATCAAATTCTGAATCCCAATTAATATTTAATTATAATCTGGTAAACATAATGGTCTACATTGCTAAATCAGTTGAGTTCAGATCCCCAGATATCATACCCAGACTGCAGAATGCTCTGGTCAGGCTGCACCTAGAGTACTGCAAACAGTTCTGGTCAAAGGGACATAAAGGAGTTGTCCAGATCCCAGAGGCAGTGCAGAAAAGAGCAATGAGAATGATCTCCAGTGTTAGAGGAATGAACAATCATTAGACAAACTAGAGATTTTCAGTTTTGAGAGAGGATGATTCAGATGGAATCTTATAGAGGTGATTAAAATGTTAAATGAGGTTGAAAAAGTAAACTCAGAACAATACTTTAGGATGCCCCAAGAAGCAGAAGAAGAGGACATAGATTTAGAGTTGCAAACAGAAATTTAAGGACTAATACCACAAGGTTTTTCTTTACTCATAGGGTAATTAATGGTTGGAACAGGTTGTCAAGGTTGGCAATTATGATGGCAATGTAAATAACAATTTCACCACAAGATCTTGCCTGTTTTGACAAACTGTTCCAGTCATTAATTACCCTCTGAGTACAAATTGAACAAAATTCAACACTCTAGCATGTTTCCTTGTAGATGGTTTAAAGTCAGAGTCAGTGGAAAATTGCTGGAGGCTGCCTGCTCTACATCTTAAGAACATAAAAATTTGCTAGGCAAAAGTCCATCTACTTCACCTTCCACCATCACTTGACATGTCATGACCTAAACTATACACTCTATCCCAAGATATTATTTTCTAGCAGAAATCTATCTCATTTGTTCTTAAAACAAATTACATTTTCTGTTTTACCCCCAGGTCCTTTTCATTTTCCGTACAGATTCCCTTCCTGGATTTTTTGTCACCATATGAGGTACTTTGCATTTCTCTACATTAAATTTCATCTACCATCAATCTGCCCAGTTCCCAAGAATATTCAAGTCCTCCTGTAACCTATCCTGTTCCTCTTTGCAGTCTACCACCTTTGATAGCTTTGTGTCATCTGCAAATTTAGCCACTATGTTTGTGACTCCTAGCTCCAGGTCATTTATAAAGATGTTAAATAAAAGAGGTTGTTCGGATCTGGAATAAATAATAATAATAAATAATAATAATAATAATAATAATAATCCTTGCATTTGATATAGCGCTTTTCACGTCGGGAGGACGTCCCAAAGCGCTTCACAGAACACACTGTAAAGTGAATTGACTGTATATTTGTGGGCGAACGCGGCAGCCAATTGCGCACAGCAATGTCCCACAAACAGTCGTAGATTGAAAATGACCAATTTAATTATTGTTTTTGGTTTTTTGGAGGGATTATTATTAGGCTCTGTGTGGAGTAAGGAAACTTGCCCAAGGTTTCGCCCTCTGCCTGGAATTGAACTCAGGTCTCTCACTTGCAAAGCGAGTGCTCTAACCACTGAGCTACAGGACTCCACAGGAGCTACAGGAATGCATTGCCTGAAAGGGCGGTGGAATCCGATTTGATAATAACTTTTAAGAGAGTAGATAATAAATCACCAATAAATCAAATAGGGAAGTCAGAAAAAAACTTCTTTACCCAGAGAGTAGTGGGAATGTGGAACTCGCTGCCGCAAAGAGTGGTTGAGCGGGATTGATTTGGATAGATCTTTTCAAAGAGCCGGCACAGACACGATGGACCGAATGGCCTCCTTCTGTGCTGTATAATTCTATGAGGTTCCCAAACAGACCCCTGTGGAACTCCACTGGTAACATTCTCCCAACCTGATGACATTCCCTGTACCACCAGCTTCTGTATTCTATCGGTCAGCCAATTACGTATCCATTGCAAGATACTTCCTCTGATTCCTCTACTTTCTTCATTATCAGTACCAGGCTTTCATGCGAAACTGTATCAAAGGCCTTACTGAAATCCAGATTATACAACATCCACTGCCTTACACTTGTCAAACTCCTTTGTCCCACAGTCAAAGAAAAACAGTAAATTAGTTTGGCATGAACCCACATTGACTATCTTTTATCATTTTATTACTGTTCAGATGCTCCATGATCTTATTTTCAACATCTTAGTCACCGAGGCATCTATTATTACTGTAAGAATTTACATTCAAAGTAGAAAAGAAAATGAATGAAAATCAAATGTTTACTTACGGCAAATGTCAGGGGTCCTCCAGGAAACACACACCCCAACCATACTGCAAGCTGAAGAATAGGCAGCTACAGCAGTGCAGAAACACTCACAATCTCCTCCAGTGTCACAGGCACATGCGTCACGCACACACGCATCATAGTAAGGCGTTGGGTTGACCTAAGGATTAAATCGAAAATTGCCTGAATTATATTCACTATTTTTTTTAATAATGTTTGCAATGTACTCGTTCACATTTGCTGACACAGTCAGACAATGAAAATATGAATGGAAATTCTGCAGATTTTAGGAAAACATGGAAATGAGAAAAGGCCATTTACTTTTAAAAACGGGGTGGACGGGTATTTGAGGAGGACGGGTCTGCAGGGTTATGGGGAAAGGGCTAGGGAGTCGGATTAACATTACATTGTTCTTTTCAAAGAGCCGAAACAGACTGAACTGGGGTTAGGATAGCCAAGGAAGAAGGAGAGGGAAGGAGGGTAATCAAAAGCTTGTTTGAAAAGAAAGGTCTTAATGCAGAGGGACTCCAGCAAAGAGTTCCAGAGAGCAAGAGAAGAATGACTGTCCACCAAGGGTGAGGCAGGTGGGCAGGCATGATAAAGCATGATGAATGTATGGAACACTTGTGGGTGCAAATAAATTATACATTATACCTGAGCATGGCAAGGTCGGAAAGCCTGGCTTTGGATGATACTGCACTGCCTCTGAGCCCATGCTGCGCGATGGGTATTAGCAGAACATGGCTCTGTGATTTTCTTTACATCCGGGCAACTGGGGGACACCTTCCAGCTGTTTCCAAATTCCTGCACATTTGCAACCACTAGCTGGCTTCTTGTGGTGAAATCGTTATAAACATTGCCATCAAAATTGCCACACATTCCACAGATGTTACCCTGCAATAATCCAAAAAAGACATTCCTTAGGCTGGAATTATGATAAATCGTTAGATTTGCTTCTCCCTTTCTTTAAAAGTTTAAGTGCAGAATATTTTGGCGAATCTTTTGTGCAAGAATATGATCAAAAAGGAGTGTGTATCATTTCATCATTAGCAAAGGGACCAAACAATGCATTGATTTAATTTACATAACTTGGAATCTAAGCAGAAAGTTCATCAAATACTGAACTTTGCAGAAGGATAGTACCTCAACAAACAAGTGAAAACACAGAGTTTGTTAATTCAGATTTTTCAGTAACTGTGTCACTCTTAATGCTACGGTTTTCTTGAAGTAATGCACCAATTCAGTGTACACAAACTGATCCGGCAAATTTCTGAAAGCAGGAGCAATAAGAATTTCAGGAAGATAAGATAATTTACAATATTCTGCAATTAAAAATGAATATATTTTGATGCCTTATTTATTCTTTTTCTGTGTTTTGAAAACAGATTATTTCTCTACGAAATAGTTGTCCTACCCACACCTAGACTTTGCAACGTTATAATAATAATAATAATCCTTGCATTTGATATAGCGCTTTTCCCGTCGGGAGGACGTCCCAAAGCGCTTCACAGAACACACTGTAAAGTGAATTGACTGTATATTTGTGGGCGAACGCGGCAGCCAATTGCGCACAGCAATGTCCCACAAACAGTCGTAGATTGAAAATGACCAATTTATTATTGTTTTTTTTTTGGAGGGATTATTATTAGGCTCTGTGTGGAGTAAGGAAACTTGCCCGAGGTTTCGCCCTCTGCCTGGAATTGAACTCAGGTCTCTCGCTTGCAAAGCGAGTGCTCTAACCACTGAGCTACAGGACTCCACAAATATATAAAAGTTATACTCCTGAACAAGCAACTAGGAGTACTTGTGAGAATGACTCGCTCTCTAATTTCTTTTTGTGCTTCCATTCAGATTGGAGTACGATCCCTCCCAGATTCTGCTGTTGAGATCTATAGCTTATAGCAGTTGTAGATGTGACCCCACAAGGGCTAATTATCCCAGCACTTCGTGGTAGAAAACATTGGTGTCTCCTGGAATTCAATCACAGTGTTGCTCTCCACTGAAGAGATATAAAGAACATCCTTGGTAATAAGTGCTTACCTTAAAGGAAGGCTTGAGTTTGACAGTCAGACTTGTTTTCTTGTCCCATACTAATACCAATCCATTCTCAGCTTCAATAACAAGGTAAATGCCAAGATGACGCACTTTATATGGTATATGTGTTTCATCATCAAATGTCACCACCTCATACTTTCCTTCTGAGAGTTTCAGTTCAGTGTTCTGAAAGGGTTTGAATAGTTATATTAGTAGGAATACTATATGAGACAAGTCATTGGGACCACATCTTCATATTATATTGCTAATAAACATTCTATTTACTAAAAGAAAGATCTCACAATTATTAAAAACATGTATATTGAAAAATAATTTAATATAAAGATAAATATAAAGCTCAAACCTACTTACTTACAAACTCACACATCTGACTCTCTCATGTGGATTTAATAGGCACACCCTAACTTTGGGTTTCTTACCCCTAAGAAGATCTTGATTGCTTTGGAGCATGTTGTTCCAGTTGTCCCACAAGGGATGTTTTCAGTAATCACTCGGAAGGTTCCATTGGAAGGATTCTTGCCACAGTGATCCTGAAATGATAATAAGCAAAGACTGAATTGAAGACCTACAGCTTCACATAGAACACAATTTAGAGATCACAGATAGATCTGACATACAAAAGCAGATGCATTAGTCTTAAAAGTGTTGAAATTTGAATAACAGCGTAGGAAATAATGGACTGATTTGGTATGTGTATTATTCATTACTATTATTTTTCTACATTTTTACTCATCAAACTGTGAAGCCTCAGTGTTGGAGAATCAACACAGTTTTCCAGGTCACAGGCCACATGTGGGTGCTGCTCCCTACACTCTGTGTCAACAATAAGCTTTTATCCAATCTCAGAATAGCGTCCTGCACTGCAGTGCTCACACCAGTCATCTTTGTGGTCTCTTTTGCTCTTTCAGCCAAGCATTCCTGTTCTGTCCTGAAACACCATCTGAGCTTTCTCTTTCAGAAGCTGGTAGATCTGCTTTGATTCAGTACTGGGTTATGACTATGCTGAACTAATTTTCACTTACCAGGGAGAGAAGGCTTTCACCTCATCATTGCTAACTAGATTCAAACCTAGATTGGTGAACCCACAGACAGCGCAGTAATCCCCACATTCCACTCAAGTTTCCAGCAATGATTACTGCATTCACATTATGAATGTTTAGAACTTGTCATGACAACACAACTATTCAATTATAAAGACATATTGAATAATTGTACAATATACATGAAGATGTGCACATTTATCCAATACCTGGGCAACAGTATATTCGCAATCTCCATTAAAATTATAGCGCCGGCCATCAAACGTGATGTAATGCCCATCTCCATAGATACCACAGGTTCCATGGCATGAATTGGTGGTGCACTGCCACTGTCTGTCGTTGCATTCACTGAGAAAGAAAACAGGAAGTATGTACATCTAGTTAGAATAAAGCCAAGGTTGAACAGTTGCACCCTGCAGTCCATTACAATAGTGAAAATAAAGTAAATAAAGTACCATGTGTTGCAATCCACTTGTATACTGTCCCCAGATTGATAATGGACACCATTATGGACACAAGGACACTGATTTACAGCAATACAGCCACTGCTTCCATCTGACACTAATCCTTTAGGGCATACACACCCAGAGACGCAGCCCGTGGCATACTAAACAGAAAAAATAATGAGTTCCAAAGTAAGATGGCATTTCAATTCTTGAACAGCTGCACTTAGCCCTAGTCGCTGCATTCAGCCCACAGAGACCAGACAATTCTCGCCAAAGTATGGCTGAAAAACTGCATTTTTAAAATACCAAAGATTCATCTTATTGATGCTTAAACTAGTTTGTAAATTATATTGTAGACAGTGGAGAACAATTTTATCATAATAGAAGGGTTTTAACAATTGTATGCTGGATGCTATCTTAATCAAATCAGATGTAATTTGTGTATTGCTTTTTATGGGGAAACAAAGCGCAGAAAGACAAAGAATTGCTCTTTTTCTCACGCCAATATTTCTCATGCCATTTTTCTTCTCAAGTTGTTTTGATTTCTTTTTCTTTCACCAGGATACGGAAATCTCAGGATACTAACTCACTAAGTGGCCATTGTTCATGTGTGAGCCCTGGTAGTGAATGTCATAGAATTATACAGCACAGAAGGAGGACATTTGGCCGATCGTCTGTGCCAACTCTTTGAAAAGAGCTATCCAAATCAATCCCACTCCCCTGTTCTTTCCCCATTGCCTTGCAAACGTGTCCTCCCCAAATAATTATCTATGTCGCCAGATGATTGGAGCACAGTGGCTATCACAGGCAAGCTTTGATCTTGTCCTCAGTGTTGGGCTGATACATACACAAAAAGAAATATCTTTAGCACCTGTAATGTTGGCAGAATGTTGGCACCTGTAATGATTCATGAATACTATACACTGGCACTTACACACTCCATGTCTAGGGTCTGGCAACTCTTCTGACACTCGTACCAATGCTGTCAGCTGAAGCATTGTTGCAATCAAAGTACACCATGGGATCAGCACAGTCTGCAAAATACACCCAATCGCTGAAGTCAGATACACAAACACATTTTATTCTTGAAAATGCACATTATATTTCTCGGCTGTTACCTTGAGATGGTTCCTCATTACCAATACACTCTAACTTTCCGTGATTGCAGGTACTGGAACAAAATATTGAAATATCACATTAATTGCTGAAGTTAGATAGAACACAGTCATTGCTGTTCCATGAAATGATCGGTTTGTTTCAGAAGCTTACCATATGGCATCGTCCTCATGAATGACCTCTCCAGGGGGTATGGTTGTCCCTTGGTGGTAACATTGGCAGCTGGCGGGTGGCACGCATATACCGGTGTCATCCATATACGTTCCTTCAGCACAACCACAGCCGTCCACAGGCACAAAATCAATTGTACATGTGCTATCTGGAACACTGAGGGACCAACATGTGCGGTGGCAGGGCTTCATGTCATAGCTGTAGACTAGCGTCTTGGGGCAGTTGGAGTATTTGGCTACAGTAAAAATAATCAAGAAATATTTTAGAATTTATACGCTGCAGAACAATTTTAAAAACAAAAGGCTTTCTGAGATTTTAATGTAATTCTTAAAACAACAACTTTTATTTTCTAGCGCCCTTCTCAAAGGATAACATTTTGGAGCGCTCTAAAATGCTGAGAGTAGGTCACTAAACACTGCACTACTGAGGGTTAGTGACTTTCATACTGCACTACCTAGGGTCAGTCACTAACACCCTGTGCTGCTGACTGTCAAGTGACTTTACACTCTTCTGGTTACTACCAAGAGAAGTTAACCTGTAACCTGCCTCAATTGGTTCCACCAAAGATGATTGCAGAGAATGTTTTGCTTTTTTTTGGTTAGCTAGATGTCTGACACACATATCCAAACCTTACTCATAGAAATTTCTGTTGTCTGGAAATGGAGTGCACACTCTTTCCATGGAGAGGCACCTATCTAAAATAATCCTTGCATTCAATATAATGCCATTTATGTCAGAACGACAATTCAATGCAAGAATTTACTGTAAAGTATTGTAACTATGTATTTGTTGACCTAACCTCTTCTCACCTAATCCCAGAAAGTTTAGACACAATTTGGCAAGAACCAAGACTTGGGGACTCCAGAAGGTGGGTTGTAATACTACTGGAATTTACCCAACTAAAACCACGCAGCTTGACATTGAGAAGAGTGACTGGTAAACTTCCTGGTTAACCAGCTCGGATCATCCTGAGATTACAAGATGTTGTGAACTCGAAGTGGAGATTTTGGTTATTTCCTGCAACAAATTGCATTTATAGGTGGACACCCCTGACAGATGTTGCACTGAGTGTAGAAATTGATTATACTTACAGCACACATTTGTTCTCCAGTTGGAAATGGTGATTCCTTTTGCTGCACAAGCCCAAACATATGAGGAGAGGGCAGCGCACATGCAATCCTCACTCTTCTCACAATTACAGCTGTCGTACATACATTGCTGCAAAATTGAAGCTTTCTTTGTTATTGGCTCAAGGTGAAACAAGGATAAAAACTGAGAAAACATATTTTAAATACAAACATGAGGAAGACACATGTCAGGAAATTAGAATTTTGTGTAATTTTAATGACCTTGGTATACTGACTGCTCAGGTGCCAGATTGTAAGCTAGGCGGTTTTAGCGTTACAGCAGTACCCCAAAGTACACTCTGGGGTCCCCACGTCTTGGCTTTTGCCAACCTGCGCCTAACACTGTCCAGGATTAGGTAAGCAAGGTGTGCACATTCCATTTACGGACCAGGGAATTTCCATGTGTAAGTGGCATACAAGGAACTCTCAGTCTGATTTGGATACGCTTAAGCATGGCGATGGTTTTCCGCATGCATCAGACACACAGCTGACCAAAAAAGGTCTCAGCCAGGGCTCAGTTGATAGCACTCTCGCTTCTGAGTCAGAAGGTTGTCGATTCAAGCCCCCAAAGTTCAAGTTGGGACTTTGAGCTCACAGTTAGACTGAAACTCCCATGCAGTGCTGGGAGATGCTTTGCTGAACCTGCCATCCCTTGGATAATATGTTAAACCGAGACCCCATCTCCCTGTTCAGGTGGATGTTAAAGATCCCTTGGCAATATTAAATAAGGAAAAGGAGTTTCTCCTGGTGTTCTAGCCAACAATCCACCAAATAAAAAATTGGTCATTCACATCAAGGCTGTTTGTGGAAAGTTGCTGTGCATAAATTGGCTGTCGTGTTCGACAACAAATACACACTTCACAGTAGAATCTTGTGATCCACTTTGAGACATCCACAATGTGATATGGTGCTATATCCAATCCAACGATTAATATTATAAGATCTCTTTTTTTTTGCTTATAGTTGGAAATAAGACAAATGGGCCTTTTAGATTAGTAAAGCCAATATACGAGACTGTACAGTAACCAACACAAAGTATACAATTCTGGGGTAATTTATTTGTACATACCTCAAAGTGGCGATCGGGACTGATCAACGAATGGCACACAGCAAATGGGGAGTCACTATCAAGAAGCAGTGAGCACCAATGCTTTGCATACTTTTCTATAACAATAGAGTAAGAAAAGGAGTATTTAGGGGGAAAGCTTGGGAACTGGTTAAAACTTATGTTGTAGCATCAACACGACTGTCTCCACACCTTCTCTTTAAATATTACATTCAGCCTGAGAGATTCAAGCTCCAGTCAATATCGTAACATGTTGTAGACAATGTTCTATTGTGTATCTCTCCTGTGTATTGTGTGATACTGGGGATAACACTCTTGTGTATGGATATGTTACATCCAATAATATGTTTTTTATATAATAACTCTCCTGTATATTTACACATCTATCATTGTAATCTCTAGACTGACATTTTAGAGGTAACTGTCACAGTCCTACCATTTTCAACACTGAGCGAACAAGGATTCTCGTGCACATCCTGTTTGTCTGGACAGCTGGCTTTGGTCTTCCATGTGTTTGCAAAAGCAGAAGCTGTCCCTTCTACGAGGCCACTGACTGCTTTAAAGTCATCATTTAGAACATTGTTGAAGTTTCCACAAAGACCTAAAAGAAGTAAAAAAAACACTTTTTGAAATACTATTTGTTACCATAAAAATAACAAGGTAGCTGCAAATCCAATGATGGGTTATTAACAGTACAGATAAATAAACTGAACCGTACCACACATCCGGCTCTCAAAGGATGGATCTAGAATTGTGTAGAGTTGCATCAGAGGTACCAGCTGTACCTGGAGCTGCAGCCCAAAGTTTGCCTGGAGGATGATGTAGAAGTTGGAGGGTCTGAATACTGTGACATTATCTGTGAAGAGAGGACACACACAGAAATGTAATGATCTAACCTATTTAAACAAAATGTCACAAGTAAATTATTTGGGAAACAACATTGCGGGAATTGGTTATTATCTTACTGTATAAATCAGTGGAAAATTCATGTTTGTAAAGTTTTGTTTTGCCCTTCAAAGAACTTTATACATTATATAACTGTATATTAAGCAGAATCTGCACAGTCTACTTGCCTGTTTAGACAAGCAGATGAACTTGCAGAAAATACAAGAGAGGGACCTGGATCTGTCCAGCAGAGGATAGGCAGTGGACTCACAATTCTCCACTCTATAATTCTCCATGAATTACAGATTGGTTTTGGCTTAGAATGAGGTCAATGCAGCTCAAAGTGTGTGCACAGGCTCACCTTATTCAATTACATTTTCTTGCTTTTTCCCCACATCTTTTAATATTATTTTCCCCGAAATAATTATCCAATTCCCTTTCAAATGTAACATTCCCAACTATGGGATAGTTGTCAAGAAGAGACAGGGAAAGCAAATCCAAATTGCATAAAAGTGATTGCGGATTCCACTGAATTTACCTCTGGTAAATGGTAACTGGGCTAACATTCCATTGAGAAAGACATTGCCGTTGGGTTTAACAACGATGATCTGTAAAAAACACGTTAATTAAAACTGGTTAATTCAAAAATTTATTTGCAATTGTGTTTTAAACTGTATGTTTAAATAATATTTTATATAAATTCGATTAAAAATCCTTACAGTGTGAGCTCCTTGGACAGTGAGCGTTACTGCCTTTAAGCATGTCTCGGATTCCGTGATGCCACATGGCTGCAGCTCCCCAAGGATAGTAAACATGCTGTTCTCACAATCCTGGAAGGAAGAATGAATAGAATAAGAGCTACTAGATTGAATAATTAAATTGGGACGAGACTATGGAGTGATTTGAAGCCCAAGAGAAAGATCTTAAAATCAATTTGTTAAGGTAGCGAGCTACTGGAGGTTGGTTAAGGATGGAAGTAATGGATGTGCAAGTTGATTTTTCGGGCCATATAGTTGGCTGGAGGTTATTCACCACCCTCAAACTTGGTTTGTAGCCAAATGCCGTTTTGCTTCTACTCGGTCATGCTGTGCTGAGCATCCTATTCTGATTCATAACAGCACCTCCTGGTTGATTATGGATTATCTGATAGCACACTGACAAACTTCTACTGCACTGAGTAGATTGAACGAAATTCATTCTACTAGATGTACTCAAGCATATACATGACAAGTTCAGTCTCCACCTGATCTGTGGTGTGTGGAAGTTACTCTACGATGTTCCGATTCATTGAAATTAGTTTTACTATGGAAGAATTTCAACAGTGAGGAAGACAGAATAATGTAATAATAAATCAATGCTCCAAGAACCTCTTTCAAGGGTAACTACTCAGTGAGAGCCCACCCTAAAATCAGCACCAAGAAACTAAAGATAATGTTGGTATTCTCCAGGTTTCCACATTTTGAGAACCTTACCTTAGAAAGCACATAGTAGCATCTTCCATGGAATGTGTAGTGACTCCCATCAAATGTATCAAAGTGAGAACCTCCCTCGATGGAACAAGTCCCAGGGCATGATAGATCAGTACAAGACCACTGGCCTCCTGTGCAAATGCTTTCAGGTTACAGGGAAGAAATATGTTTGAAGTCAGTTACTTCAAAATGTTGATGAGGAAACAATAAATTATAGATGACAATACAACAACTCACATTTATGTAGTGCCCTTCACATAATTTGAATGCTAAACATTGAGTGTGCTGGTGGTGGAGTGGGTATGGGTTAGGAAGAGGACAATCAAAGAGATAAGATTTAGGATGCTTTTGAAGACAGATAAAGAGGGGTAAGGGAAGAAGTTCCAGAAAGTGGGAGCACAGTGGCTGAATACTCAGCTGCTGATGGTGGGGCAGAGAAAGCGCAGCAGGCACAATTTTGCCAAATGGAAAGGAAAACCTAAGATTGAGGCTGGAGAACATCACAAAAGTGGAAGGGCATGAAGAAATTTTAGATGATTTCCACTGATCTTGAAGTCAATCTGCATGGAGACAGTGGAGACTGGTGAGGATGGAGGTGACGGGAATACAAACTTTCAAATGGGTAAGGACGCCTTGGGATGTCCTCCTGACGTGAAAGGCGCTCTATAAATGAAATCTTGTTGTTGTTGTTGTTGATGCAGGCAGCTGCGGTATGAAAGAGTTGGAACGTATGGATAGTGGAGCTGGCAAGACCAGCGAAGAGGGCAACTGAAAATTTCAGTCTGGAGATGACGAAGATGTGAATAGGATCAGGAGGAAGCCATTCAGTCCATAAAGCAAGCCTGTTCCACCAGTTCATTGATCTTTTAATCCTATTTTGCCAATGGCCATTTATTCCCTTATTTCCAAAGTATCCATTCATTTCAGTTTTGAACATCCTGATTGATTCTGCCTGTAAGACCTTCTAAAGCAAATGCATTCCACATGGTCACACTTTTTGGTGAAGAAATGTTCTCTTTGACCGTGCCTTCAGCTCCCCTCTCGACTCTCTTCCCCCTCCTCGCTCCCTCCCTTCCCTCCCCTCACCCTGACCATTTCCCCCCTCCTCTCTCCCTCCCTTCCCTCCCCTCACCCTGACCATTTCCCCCCTGCTCGGGTCATGACCCAACTGTGCAGCGCCTTGGGACGTCCTCCTGACGTGAAAGGCGCTCTATAAATGGAATCTTGTTGTTGTTGTCTTGTTGTTGTTCTCCGATCTCAATAACCGTTCCAGTCTTATTTTAACATTATGGCCTTTTTAGGTTCTTATAAGACATTCATGAGTTGCCCACTTTCTAGCTGTCGCTTCTCTTGATTATTTTAAACAACTCAATCACATCACCTATTAATTACCTCAACGCTAAGGAATAAAACTCAAACCTATCCAGACTCTCTAACAGATAAAAATCACTTTCATCACAATCAATCGTTGTTAGATCATTCTCTCAAAACAGGATATAACAATTAGACCCTTTTAGCCAGATATAGTGATAGCGTTTATTAATTACCAGTTGCTGCACTTGGTGGAATATTGTTCTCCAGAATCAAAAGCGAGACCATTATAGATACAGGAACACTGTTCAACTGGGATGCATCCCTTGTTGGAAATATCATCAAAAACAGTTCCTGAAATGTGAAATACGTAGCTTTGATATACGTCAGTTTCTTTACATGTAGATTATTCTGAGTTTATATGCTGTTACAAATACTGTTTCGTCATTTACTATATGGTTGATTTTGAAATACAATATGGTTTTATACAGTCATAATGCAACTGTATAACTGTAGAGCTAATATAACACTAACACAGCCCTCCCTGTAATGCTAATATAACACAGCCCTCCCTGTAATGCTAATATAACACAGCCCTCCCTGTAATGCTAATATAACACAGCCCTCCCTGTAATGCTAATATAACACAACCCTCCCTGTAATGCTAATATAACACAGCCCTCTCTGTAATGCTAATATTACACAGCCCTCTCTGTAATGCTAATATAACACAGCCCTCTCTGTAATGCTAATATAACACAGCCCTCCCTGTAATGCTAATATAACACAACCCTCCCTGTAATGCTAATATAACACAGCCCTCTCTGTAATGCTAATATTACACAACCCTCCCTGTAATGCTAATATAACACAGCCCTCTCTGTAATGCTAATATTACACAGCCCTCTCTGTAATGCTAATATAACACAGCCCTCTCTGTAATGCTAATATAACACAGCCCTCTCTGTAATGCTAATATAACACAGCCCTCTCTGTAATGCTAATATAACACAGCCCTCTCTGTAATGCTAATATAACACAGCCCTCTCTGTAATGCTAATATAACACAGCCCTCTCTGTAATGCTAATATAACACAGCCCTCCCTGTAATGCTAATATAACACAGCCCTCTCTGTAATGCTAATATAACACAGCCCTCCCTGTAATGCTAATATAACACAGCCCTCTCTGTAATGCTAATATAACACAGCCCTCTCTGTAATGCTAATATAACACAGCCCTCTCTGTAATGCTAATATAACACAGCCCTCTCTGTAATGCTAATATAACACAGCCCTCCCTGTAATGCTAATATAACACAACCCTCCCTGTAATACTAATATAACACAGCCCTCCCTGTAATGCTAATATAACACAGCCCTCCCTGTAATACTAATATAACACAGCCCTCCCTGTAATGCTAATATAACACAACCCTCCCTGTAATGCTAATATAACACAACCCTCCCTGTAATGCTAATATAACACAACCCTCCCTGTAATGCTAATATAACACAGCCCTCTCTGAAAAACGCTTATGTAACACATTCATAATTGTAACTCTGATACACAGTATGATGGCTACCCTCTAAAAGAGAAACAATATTAAAGATCCTTTGCATCACCTTGCCTGCTTCATACTCTCCTATAAGAAAATATTCAGTATTATAACTTCCTTAATAACAGAGACACTGTGAATTAGACACTCCTCAGTATAAGGATTCCAAAGATATCTAAAGGAATAAGAAAATTGTATTGTTTGAAGCTTCATTTTGGATGGAAGTTACAGCATTTGCATTGTACCTACATTATATTATATATATATATCAGCGTCAAGCCCTCGGAGATGTTGAGTTGCTTTTGTTGAGTTTTCATGAGGTACTTTAACTTACCAGGTGGACAGAAGCAGCCATCAATGCAGTGTTCCTCACACATCTGACTCCTGTCAGGGTTTAAACATGTGTCTGTACATGGAGTACCACACTCCTCATAGATCATATTAAATGGGCATGTCTTTTCTAAAACAGAAAGAAAGAACAGCAAGTTTTCAGTCCTTTGAATAATTCAACCAACATTTGGGATTTAGCTTGCGAGAGACCTGAAGCATCATCGGTTAAAAAATACTTGCCACAGAATCCATTTGTCCTCCAGTTGCCAGGTTTGCCACCAGCATGAGCGCACTGCCTCGAAAATTCGGACATGGAATTGCACAGGCAGAATGATAAAGTGTCTGCCTCTGAACAAAGACACATGTCTTGCATGCAACTCTCAATAAAAGGTGCTATATCTATCAGAATGTTGCAGTTGGAAAAGGCTTTGCCCGTGAGTAGGATTTCACACTCAGATCTCTGAGGAGGAGAAAAATAAATTACTCAGTGATAGTCGAATATTTTTACCAAGTTATATTGACTTTCTTTAAAAATAAATGTTCATATTGTATACTCTGTGAACCTTTCTGCTCAGAAAAGTATAAGCTTCCAGTGCTAAGGAATGCAAATTGTTTCTGTTCGATTCCTTATACCATTTAAAGTATTTTACAAGAAGATAAAGTAACAGAATACTTTTACTAAGGTAAATCATTCACTTACAAAATGTGAACATGTTTTGTCCCAATCAGCGTCTTGGCTAATGTCTTCACAATGCTCCATTGGACCATTCAGCTTCTGCAGGTTCCCAAACTGGACTGGTGTCAGATGGTAACCTGTAATAAGGAGTAATTAATAATGTGTTTTGCATCAGACACGATGCTTTCAAATCACGAGCCTCTGCCTCTTACACGTACCATTTGAAACAAACTCATTCCCAGGGATACCATTGAAATCACCACATAGGCCGCATGTTGTATTTTCATACTTTTTGCCCAGTTCAAGCTAATTCAAAGAAAAAGAAAGTCATTAGAAAGCATTCTCAGCTCATTTTCAAATACATTACAAAAACAATGATTTTTTGACAATTGTACGACTATTTGCTTTCTTTGAGATACACATTTCGGTAATTTTTTAAAAGAAGCTTCATCAATAACCATGTGGAAATGTTCAGTCATTAATATTGTGCTAACTAAAATATCCTTCATAATTTTTGTTCCTTTTTTGATAACTTCATCTTGAGTGGTGTTGTGACTGCATCCCACCAATCAAGTTGCTGTTATTTTAGATTGTCAGGTGGGGTAAAAGGCATGATCTATTGATCACAGCACAAACAACAACAACAACTTGCGGCCGCCACGCAGGGAGCGCCTCAGAACGCTTAACAGTGGTACAGCCTGAATCCGAGCTGGGGGAGGGGGGAGGTGGCCATAAGTAAGGTGAAACAGGAAAGTTTTCAGGTGAGAATTGAAAGAGGGGAGAGAGGGGGCAAGGCGGAGGGATTGAGCGAGAGTGTTTCAGAGTTTTGGGGCATAGTGGTTAAATGCACGACCTCCAATTGTAGGGCAGAGGGTATGAGGGACGAGCAAGAGGCCAGTTCTAGTCGAGCGGAGGTGCCGGGTGGTGGATTGGGGAGTGAGGGGGCTGGAGAGGTCGGGAGATGCCAGGGAGTGAATGGATTTGAACATGGGAGTGAGGATCTTGAAATCGATCTGTTCGGTGATGGGGAGCCAGTGGAGCCTGAGCAGGACTGGTAAGATGTGGGTACCATTTCCACAGATAGCACTTGTAAAAAGAGGAACATCATTAGGCTGATTATAGAATCAGATGAGGCACACAGAGCAAGCAGGTTTTCGGGAAAATCAGCTAAACCAGGGATAGCGCAAGGGCCACGTGCTGTTTGTGTGACTATTTTACGCATGAGTAATGCAGCCTGTACGCATGAGTAATGCAGCCATCACTGCAATAACCACTTTACATTACAATCAATACTTTTGATAACAAGTAGTATTTTGATAGTTCCAATGTGGGCCACTCATGGCACCAGGTAAGTATCTTCACTACATTTTTGAATCTTCCGTGCAGAAAGCAGTTTGGGTCCAACACAGTGTTCAGATACCAAGGACTATTTATACGTGGAGTGTTGTAAATTAAAAAATTGCTTGAAAGAAAATCTGGACCAATAAGATAAACTGGGCATGTTCACTCTGGAGACGAAAAGGTTGAGGGGCCATATGATTATGGTCTTTAAGATTCTGAAGGGACAAGATAATGTAGACCATGATAACCTGTTTATCTTGTACTAAACAGTAGAATCAGAGGATATGGCTTGCAATTAAACGGCGGGGGTGGGGCAGGGGTAAATTCAGACAAATCTGCAGAAACATTACTTCAGTGAGTTACTAGTAAACTTATGGAACAAGTTCTCTAGGGAGACAGTGGAAGCAGAAAATGTTTTTCCAAGAGTAAATTAAATGGATTTCTGCTGGAAAATGATATCTCAGGATACAGTATATAGTTTGGGACACAATATGACTGCTAGGATGGTGGAAGGTGAACTAGATGGATTTTGGTCTTCTTTCACCAAGCAAATTCTTATGTTCTTATGTTCAATGGAGGCTGAGTGACTGTCTGCCAAGCAGCAAGGGCACAATCCTTGTTGCAAGGTGGCTGTTCTCTCAGAGAAGGGAACATGCTTTGTAAAGGGAGAACCTTATCCAATAAATGAGGGAGGAAGTTGAAGAAATGCAACATTCATCTTTACAACTAAAATGGTTTCTTATCAAGTAAAAATCTCCAACAAATATGCTTAGTACTGTTGCATAGTATCCATTCACATGGTTATTCATGCCAAATGTTCGTACCATGAGGGCATCGTTTCCATTCCACGTGAAAGTCAGACCAATCTTTGCAGTGACCCGGGTGTAAATATTGATTTGTTCTATCATGACACCAGACTGACTGTATGGCAGTGTCACCCTGGATAAAAACAAAACATTATGCCTCATTTTAATGCACACTTTCCAATTCAATGCTTTTTTTGACCTACACAATGGTATTTACAAAAAAAGTTAATTTCCTATATAATTTGTAGTTCCGTCAAATACCACTAAAACAGTAAACATATGAAGCTTTTACATACACAACTAATCACATGCTGGGTTGCAGCTCAAGAGCATTTGACTACAGCTGAAAGGAGTTATTGTAACCTTGTACAGATCACTGTCAAGATAAATTTGAGATATTTCGCTAACTTCTTAAAAAGTATATGTGTTTTGGAGAGGGTTCAGAGAAAAGTCACAGAGATGTAACTTTGGGGTTTAGATCAGAACTGAATTTGCTTTCATTAGAATCAAGAAGATTGGGTGAGAGGGAGAAAACATGATTCAGTGTGTTTTTTAATTGCAGAGAGGCAGAGGTGATAAAGATTTAAGCAGAGTGTTTGACTTAAATGTGAGAGAGGAACTGATGGCCGTGTAAACAAGCCTAAAGTAAACAAGGGAGGGGAGGGGAAGGGGGGTGGCCGATGGCATGGTCGAAGAGGAGGGCCTTGAGGCGGGACTTGATGGAAGGTTAAGAAGGGGGCGAGGCAGAGTAACTGGGGGATGGAATTCCAGAGGTTGGAGGCAGAGTGGCTGAAGGCTCACCCGCCAATGGTGTTATTATTATTATTAATGGGGGAATAAGCTAGTGGTGATGTTGAATGCCAAATCTCCTGCTTTTACTTGGTTACATTTTTGCAGTGTGTGGGAGTGAGGCTGAATGACATGTTGTTCTATACAGACCCACATACATTCCCTGGTGCATGGCTGCTGGAAGGAGGGAGAGTGCGAGGCCACACACTGCAGCTCCATATCTACTCACTGAATAGCCAAGCCTCTCGCCCCATGTCACAGAGGCTAACACAACTATTATTTCATTGTGATAGCCTGCAGATGACCTACAGCTACAAATGATTCCGACACTTTGCTTCCGATTGTGCCCAAGTCCCACTCTGCGCTGTGCCAATACATAGAAAGACATTCATAAAACAGCAAAATGAAAAAATTTATAAAATGCAAACTGCTTACATAGTCTCATCCACTGCAATGGTTGAATTAATTATTTCAATAACTAATCCTTCTATTTTCATGACAATTTGACTGATTTTTGGATGACCATTCAAAACAATACGTCTTATCTGGATGTTGAATTCCTCATAAGCACTTAAACAATCGGAAGCCAGGACATAATTGCAGAGTCCTGGGAAATGGTAAACGTCTCCATCAAAGGTCTTAAAGTGGTAGTTTCCCCAGGAGCTGCACACGTGATCATTATGGGCAGGATTATGACCTAGGAATTAAAAATAATAGATATGATAAGAATACAAAGAGTATAATAAGTTGCATACACACGTGGAACTTTTAGTGGTCAATTTATCTTGCATTCACCCTGCTAACCATCACACCAGTGTCGTGAGATGAAAGTCAGTGGGCTAGTCTGTGGGAACATACTTTAAGAATTGAATGTAGGATGTACGATACTTGTATATGTCAATGTGAAAAGGAATGCATCCCAAATGCTTTTATTTAATAAATTACTTACTTGTAATATTTGCTCTGCCTGGAATGATCTTTGTTGTATCAAGTGGAAAAAATTCTGTTACCAGATCTAAAGAAAAATAGGATATTAAATGTGAAGCTAATTTTATTGAAGGCTATTTTCACAGACAGGCTCATTCATATTTGAGTTATGCAAAGCCAAGACTGAATAAAATGATCACAAGAAAGATACTGTGAACCATAAAGTTAATGCCACAAACTATTTCTTAAATACCTCTGATTTGTTGCCTCGGCTTAAGAATAACGCATATCTTTGAATTCAGTGTAATCATGTACAGCTTACCAATGCAATGTTCTGGGCAGTTTCATCATATTTGTTCATCTTGGACCATCATAGTACTAATAATAATCCTTGTATACTAGGGATTTGGTATGCAAGTGTTAGAAAAGGTTGTTTCTAATATAATTTAGTAAGTAAAGTAATGGAGGAATTAGTGGTGTATGTATATATATATCCACATATATAGAAATATATATTGTAGAAATTAGGGGAGAAACAAACTGTAAATCGGGATTAGAAACTGTTTACTTTGACCAGTGGTGAGATGTTTGGAATCTGCAGAATAAGTTGTCCTGGTTCTAAAAGGTTAACGGTCAGTCAGTTGTGATAGGGAAGGAAGATATAAAACAGGCTTTGAGACAGGCACAAGGCGATCACAAGTGGCAGGATTCTTCGAGATAGGAAGAGACTGCCACTCGCTGATAATAATAATAAGGAAGCCTGCATTTCCTTTGAACACCTAAGCAAGGCAACCCAGTATTCTGTAAACACATGCTGATCGTGCTAATGGCACCTACCAAGCAGATGGTAGGCACCAACTCTGGAAGGGAAAAACAAGCTGTCATGTGCTAAACAACAACAAGATTACATTTGTGTAGTGCCTTTCACGTTGGGAGGACGTCCCAAGGCGCTGGACAGTGACAGCATTTCACACCCGAGCTGGGGTTGGGTGGGGGAGGGGAGGGGAAGGGGGTGGCTGATGGCATGGTCGAAGAGGAGGGTTTTGAGGCAGGACTTGAAGGAGGCTAAGGAGGGGGCGAGGCGGAGTGACAGGGGATGGAATTCCAGAGGTTGGGGGCAGAGTGGCTGAAGGCTCTCCCGCCAATGGTGGGGCGAGTGGGGTCGGGGGATGTGGAGCAGCCAGAGCCGGCTGAGTGGAGGGAACGAGCGGGTTGTATACATGGGGCAAAATAGTATAACTATGCTAACTTTAGGCAAGTAAGGTAGCAGATCAAGAGGTGAGAAGCTGTAGTGAAGATATCACAACTGGCTGCTCCAAAACTGGTATACTGTTTGTTACTTATGTTAGTGTCAGAACTTTTCTATCTGTTTTGTATGAGTTGCTTTTGTCATCAAAAACTCTATTACACCATAGTTGGTTTGTTGGGTCATAATTTGAACCACGGGATCGGAAATCCCAACAAATTGGACCCGACAAGTTTTTTTATCATCAGTAACTAAGAATAGAAATAGGCCAGGGGCCAACAAATTGTATGTATAAGGTTAAGCAATATTGGGTAAAGTTTGTAAAATATTGAGCGGTAACAAACCCTTTAGCTCTCACACAGCTAAACAGACAAAGAGAAATTTGTTTGAATTCTAATAACTCGTGTGAAAAAGGGATATTGACTCAGGGAGTCACAAGAAAACAAACCCGGCGAAGTTTTTGTGTTATTCAATAAGACTTGGGGAGTCTTAACTGAAGTATTGGCTTAGGGAGCCAGACAGGTAAAATTCGGGGAGTTTTACACCCGCGGACTCAGGGAGATCTATGGGACAAACAGACTCGGGGAACCAGAGACAAACTCGGGGAGTTTGAATTTAAGTGCCGGCTCCGGGAGACCTACAAAATAGGATTCAGGGAGTCGTGGAGGAAAATAGAACTCATGGAGTTTTATCAGAGTAGACTCGGGGAGATCTACAGAATAAAGACTCAGGGAAGTCTGAATAAAATATAAAAAGGGAAACTCGACAAAGTTTCTAGGTAAAACGGATCTCGGCGAAGATCTTTTGGGGAAAAAAGTTTTTTTCCAAAAAAATGATGAGCCAATCCAGAGAGCAATTGCTATGGGATACTTTTGAGACATGGATGAAAATAGGTTCAAAGGAGGGGGATTATGTGGCAAAGGAGGAGCTGGCAGTTGAAAATGTAAAAGGGAAGTGCGCAAAAGAAACATTCCGAAAGTGGTTACAGAAGTATGAAAGGGATTTATGTAAGAAAGTGGGGGCAAGAGCGGAGGAACTCAAAACAGAGCAGTTAGCGTCAACCAAAACTATTGAGCAAGGCCTAATATGGATAGAAGATAAGGTTGCAAAGGGAGAACTGAAGAATGGGGGAAGTAACTGCAGGGCGGTTAATGAAATATATTATGTGGAGGGGTTGTCCGGGAACTCAGAAAAGGATTAAGGAGTTAGAAAAAATGTTAGGAGAGAAAGAGGAGGAGGTAAAGATAGAAAGGGAGAGGCACGAAATGGAAAAAATCTTGTTAGAGGAAAAAGAAAACAAATTCAAAGAAAGACGCGAAATAGAAAAAACTTTCTAAGAAGGAAAGGAGTGTGAAGTGGCTCGATTGAGACAGGCTCTAGAGGAAAAAAAGAGAGTCGACAAACCGCAAATTGGAACTGTATGCGGAATTAGGAAAAAACATTCAGGGTAAAAATGAAAACCCCCGGAAATTCCACGAACACCTGGTGGAACTTACAGGCTGACCCAGTATGCAGATCCAGAAAGAGGGGAAATCGAAAGGCAGGTAGACTATAAGGTGTTGTTCGTGTGGAAACTATCACCTTCTGTTAAAAGGATGCTCGGAGTATCGGTTGATACGGGTCAGAATGGAATTCTTACTGTGAAAAGCCGAGCAGGCTTTTGATAATCAAAATACCAGTCAGCGGGGTGGAATTAAACACAAGTCAGCAGTCGCGGTCCATGAGGTAGAAGGACAGAGTCCCATGAATAACTATGGAAAAGGGGGTAGTTGGCGAGGACAGAATAGACCATACGGACGCAACAACCCCGGCGACGGCCGGGGTTATAACATTACAAGAAGGGGTAGTAATTGGAGTAATGCCTCTAGCGAATGCTATAAATGTGGGGGTAGAAGGCACTTTGCTCATGATTGTCCAAGCGAGCCAAAGCTGGGGTCTAACAAAATGGAAATTTCTCCTATATCACCTCTGAACCTTCGCCCATTGACATCACATTGAATCAGATGGCCTGGTTAACTATCAACAATTGCTAGATGTATATCATAGTCAGGTGTCCTGGTCAACAATCCCCAAATAAATTGAATCATTCACGCCATGGTTGTTTGTGGGACATTGCAATGCGCAACTGGCTGCTGCATTTTGCCCACAAAATAATCAGTCACTCCACATTACAGTATATCCTGTGAAGTGCTTTGAGGTGTCTCAATGACTTGCTATGGCACTACGTCAAATGCAAGGATTATTATTACTACAAAATCCGTACCTCACTTTAAAATATATCCTGTGAATTATTTTGAGAATCCTCCTTACGTGAAAGGTGTTACATCAAATGCAAAGATTATTATTAGCAGTAGCAAATATCAGATTATAACCGAATGAGTGATGTAATTCTAATAAAGCATCAACATGTCACAGAAAAATGATAGGTGTTAGTAATCATTAATAAATCAGTAATCACTAAGAAATTCTTCAAGATGGGACTCAGGGAACCTTCTGAAATATTTAATAAAACATTTTTTGAACCAGAATTTACATTGAAAATTTTACAGATAAAACAGAATTTTTATAAGGAGAATAACTACTTGCATTAATTTGTAAGAATATGCAATTTTCAAAAATATTCAGCAAACCATTTTTACCAGAATTCATATTTAGTACCGATGTCAAAATGCTCCCATTAGGGCTATTAGATTAAGGTTATTCAGTCTGCTTTACTGCTTAATCACATCATTAATGTCTCAATTATTTTAAAAATCAAGTTCAAACCAACAAAACAATTAGTTTTAACAATTTCTCAACATTTGTACATTTATCATTGATAAATATAAATATCTGTATCTAAACCACATGATACTTGAAACTACCAAAGTAGTTTTTATTTTAAAATAGGAAAACTCTTCTTACGTTGAGAAGCCATGGAGCGGTAAGAGCAGACTACCAGTATAAGGATCCCTATCGATGCATCTTTGCTTGTCCCCATCTTGGACAAAGCTCGGCACCAGTTAGCGAGGCCACTGCAAGGTGCAGGTCACCTGTGGCTCAGTCTTTTATGCAAGAAAGTGGTTGGCACAGTACCCAGATTGCTAACGTCTTCAGGGTGGAGCTCCTAAATGCTTCACTTAGTTGTACCCTAAGTGTAAATAGTAAGACACTGTAGGGCTCTGATTTCTGAAATTCTTTGGTAGATATTGTTTGCTAAATGGGAGTTCGAACTTTGTGATTTATTTCTTCAACAAAAAGAAAGTTTCCTGGGAAACTGATAGTAAATCAAATCGAAGAGTCATTGCCTTTACATTATGAAGTAATTGTGCATATTAAAAAAAATCAATATTTTATTTCTTACTTGCTTAAATAACATTAACCGGATCTCAACAATGCAAGGTGTCTAAATTAGCCATGACATTTAGAAGATGTTTATTTACCAGCACATACATGCCGGATGGTATGAAGGCAAATTAATGTTGCACAAACCAACCTTTTGATTCCAAAACTCTTCCCCTATTAGTGATGTCCCATCAATGCCACATCATATTGCTGCAGGATTACTGTGGCACCATATAGTCCATGGACGGCCAACTTGCGGCCTGCATGACTAATCTACACATGTGTAGTATGGCCTATGGGCTACAAGTTGCCCAAGTTGTGGAGTCCTGTAGCTCAGTGGTTAGAGCACTCGCTTTGCAAGTGAGAGACCTGAGTTCAATTCCAGGCAGAGGGTGAAACCTTGGGCAAGTTTCCTTACTCCACACAGAGCCTAATAATAATCCCTCCAAAACCAAAAACAATAATAAATTGGTCATTTTCAATCCACGACTGTTTGTAAGACACTGTTGTGTGTAATTGGGTTTTCGCCCACAAATATACAGTTAATTCACTTTACAGTATATTCTGTGAAGCGCTTTGAAATGTCGCGAAAAGACGTGAAAAGCGCTATACCAAATGTAAGGATTATTATTATTATTATCCCTGCTATAGCCAAACAATACTTTAGCTCCATGTTACGTAGAAATGCTACTGGGACTTGGATAAGTGAGAAAAATATTCACTCCAGCTAAATTTCAATTTCATTATGAATTGCTTACTTAAAATGGAGACGTGATTTCCATTCAAATTAATTAATTTCTGAGGATTTTCTCTGATGACATCTCAATTGTAAGTGAGCTCAGGGTTAATTAGAATCATGCAATCATAGAATATTACATCACAAAAGGAAGCCACAGCATGCCTCTTCTTTGGAAGAGCTACCCAAGCAGTCCCAATTCCCCGTTCTTTCCCTGTATCCTTGTAAGTTTTTCCTTTTCAAGTATCTATCTAATGTCCTTTTGAAAGTTGTTACTGAATCTGTTTCCACTACCCTTTCAGGCAGTGTATTCCAGACTGTAACAACTGTGTAAAAAAAATTCTCCTCATCTCCTCTCTGGTTCTTTTGCCAATTATCTTGAATCTACGTGCCCTCGTTACTGACCTACCTGCCAATGGAAACAGTTTCTCCCTATCTACTCTATCGAAACCTTTCAAAATTTTGAACGCCTCTATTAAATCTCCTGTTAACCTTCTCTGCTATAAGGAGAACAATCCCATCTTCTCTAGTCTCTCCACATGACTAAAGTCCCTCATCCCTGGTACTATTATGGTAAATCTCTTCTGCACTCTCTCCAAGGCCTTGATATCCTTCCTAAAGTATGGACCGAGAATTGGACACAATACTCCAGCTGAGGCCTAACCAGTGACTAATAAAGGTTTAGCAGAACTTTCTTGCTTTTGTACTCTATGAATATTTATAAAGCTAAGTATTCCATGTTTTTTTTAACAGCTCTATCAACCTGTATAATAAAAAGAGGAATGTGTGTGTGAGATACGTAGCTTGCACCTTGGAAAAACAAGTAGATACTACAAGACATTAGTCAAAGCTATCAGGAACCAGGAACCAGATGATCGGCCTGAGCAAACAAAAGCCTCTCAAAATACTTGTGATAAGAAGGAAGTAGCAGTGTACTAAAAGCAGGGTTAAGATTAAGGGAAGTAACCCATTGTGGACCTAACAATAGAAGATGTAATGTATAAAGAGATAAGGGTAGAACTTACTCAATAGGGGACCCACAGGAAGGATGATCTCACACATTAAAAAGTCAGGCTACTACCAACCATCCCTGAGTAATTATGGGCATGGGGTCAAAGAGTGCAGCACTCCAGATTGGGGATAAAAGACCCACAGAGAGAGAGAGAGAGAATTAAGCAGAAGAACACTAGAGATGAAGGATAGTAACGACTGTACAGAAGGAAGGCCTTTCTCCAACCAGAAGCAATCCCAGGCTAGAGTCGCGGGTAATATGGTTTTGGTTATTGCGTTTGCTAAAGCTGCATGCTAATATAATATATCAATGTTAATGCAGGGGATATAACTTTGAAATCAAAGTTGTATTTTGAGATCAAAATATTCCAATGGGTGACACAAAATCTGAATGTAATCAACAGAAATATTTTTTCTCCAGTAGATATTGGCAGTGGACTTAAAAATTTGTTTCTTTTTTCGATCAGTCAGGTATCTGACACACACAGAAATCCATTACCACAGCATAGAGCAGCACAAAATGTGTGACAGCTTACCACCATCCTCCTGTTTACAATTCAGACAGGTTGGAGTCCCTACAAACTGACTGATGTTACACGCCAGTTGGAGGTACACACCTTGGCCAGCAAGTGCTTACCTCTCTATTCCCATCAAGAATGGAGTCCTGTAGCTCAGTGGTTAGAGCACTCTCTTTGCAAGCAGGAGACCTGAATTCAATTCTAGGCAGAGGGAGAAACCTCGGGCAAGTTTCCTTACTCCACACAGAGCCTAATAATAATCCCTCCAAAACATCCAAAACAATAATAAATTGGTCATTTTCAATCTACGACTGTTTGTGAGACATTGCTGTGCGCAATTGGCTGCCGCGTTCGCCCACAAATATACAGTCAATTCACTTTACAGTGTGTTCTGTGAAGCGCGTTGGGACGTTCTCCCGACGTGAAAAGCGCTATGTCAAAATGCAAGGATTATTATTATTATTATGGATACTAAGTCCTGTATATATAAGCATGTGAACTGCGGTAAAGAATAGCCTAATTGCTATTTGGGGATTTTCTCTGCATCTGTGAGCAAACAGGATAATTTTTATAATTTTGGAAATTTTGATCTCCCTACTTCCCCCCCTCCCTGATCCTCAGCTCGGGTCTGTAACTCTGTCCATCCAGTGCCATGGGACGTCCTCCCGACGTGAAAGGCGCTATAAAAATGTAATTTTGTTGTTTTGTTGTTAACATTTAAAAGTTAGGTAGTATGAATTTCCTCTTGTATCCAGTATATATATATTACCCACGGAGATGTATGTGAATGTCAATGAACCATTCCATTAAAACAATTAAATAGCAACAAATTACATTTACACAGCGCCTTTCACGTCAGGAAGATGTCCCAGGCGCTGTACAGTCAGGGATTTGGACCGGAGCAGGAGATTGGGATCAGGAGGGGTGGAGGGCAGGGTGGCCGAAGGCAAGGTCGAAGAGGAGGATCATGAGACATGCCTTGAAGGAGGTAAGGGAGGAACTGTGGGATGGAGTTCCAAAAGTGGGGGCAGAGAGGCTGAACGCCCAACCGCCAATGGTGGGCGGGCCAGGCGGAGGATGTGGAGCAGACTGGAGTCTGCTGAGCGGAGAGAATGGACAGGTTGATATGGGGTTAGTATGTCACCAAGGTAGGAAGCAGCAAGGCCGTGCAGGGCCTTGAAGGCAAGGACGAGGATTTTTAATTCTGGATGATCTGCAGCTGGTGGTGGGAAGAGTTGAGAAAGCCAACGCACATAAAATTTTGAACATTATTAAAACTCACCGAAACACAAAACATTTTAAATCATGACCATTTTAATATTTGATTGCGGTTTCAAGTATTGGTGGGAAGAAAGCATCAGTGTGGAATGAAATGGCGTGATGTTGGCATTTTCTCAGTATGAACACTCTCTCGGCTAGTTTTAGCCTCATCTCTAATAATCGGCGCCATCAGCGGGCCTTCAGTCTCTCTGCCCCACCTTTGAAACTCCATCCCACAGTCCCTTCATCTTGCTCCTTCCTTTGCCTCCTTCAAGGCATGTCTCAAGATCCTCCTCTTCGATCACGCCTTATTAACCCTCCTCTTCAATATCTATATGTTCCCTCTTTGTGACATAATCCACAGACATGGGGTCAACCTCCACATGTTTGCGGATGACACCCAACTGTATCTCTCTGCCTCCACTCTTGACTACAGGACCGCTGTCAGACATCAGGTCCTGGATGAGAGCAAACTTTCACAAGATCGAGGCTCTCCTGATTGGCTCCCGTCAGCGCTGCCACACCTCCGGCATTGACAGCATCACCATCCATGGTTGCACATTCCACCTTACTAAGGCGTCCTTTGGCATCTTGTTTGACCCTCAACTATCCTTTCTACCGCGCACCTGTGCCATGTCCCACTCTGACTTCCCCACCTCCGCAACATCGCCCGGCTCCGCCATTGTTTCACATTGCAGGCCACCGAACGCCTCATCCACGCATTCATAACATCCAAGCTTGACTATGCAAACTCCCTGCTTGTCGGCCTCCCCAAATCCTCCCTCCACAGGCTGCAGATCATCCAGAACTCTGCAGCCCGTGTCCACACCAGGCTCCATGACCCTATCACCCCCATCCTCACCCGACTCCACTGGTTTCCCATCACACGGAGCATACAGTTCAAAATCCTGGTCCTCACCTTCAAAGCCCACCATGGCCTCACTCCTTCTTACCACTGCGACCTCCTAAGCCTGTACCAACCTGCCCACTCCCTCTGCTCAGTGGCTCCAGCCTGCTTCATGTCCTTTGCCTCGCCTGCCCCACCAATGGCAAGCGGGCCTTCAGCCATTCCTCCCCCACCCTCTGGAACTCCATCCCGCAGTCCCTCTGCTTCGCCCCCTCCCTTGCCTTGTTCAAGTCATCTCGTGCTTTCGATCACCCTCC